GTATGGGTGTTGTCTATTGTTGGCTATGCGGGCCCAAGTTATCGCTGCTAATTTCCTAATATCAAGGTCCCATCTCAGGTTTGGTCTTCCCCTACGTCTCTTGATTCCTCGTGGAATTTACATGCTGTAATTTTTGTGGTCCATCTGTTGTCCGTTCTTCTTGCCAGGTGTCCTGCCCATTAGTGCCCATTGCCATTTGAGGGATTTGACTCTGTGGATGACATCTATTACCGGGATCTTTTGTCGTATCCACTCTATTCTTTTACGATCTCTCTTGTTATTCCCAGCATATTTCGTTCCATTGAGCGTTGTGCGACCTGCAGTTTCCTTATGATGTCCGTTTTAAGTGTCCAGGTTTCGCATGCATAGGTCGTGACCGATAGTTCATATTGGCCGATTGTTTTCTTCTTTAGATAAAGTAGCATTCCAGATTTAAATATAATTGAGTTTGTTCCATAAGTACTCCATGCTAACTAAATTCTTCTGACAATTTCGGGTAGTAGAGATCCCGAGCTGTGTATTAGTTATCCCAAATATACAGTGTTGTTCACCACATACGACACGGAGTATTGTAGCTAAACGATTAGATTTTTACAAATTTTAAGTTTTGGGTTCGTTGAAGGACTATTAGAGCTACAATTTAGAAATAATTTTACAAGATACAGAGTGTCCCGAATAAGTAAAAAATGCTATAGTTGTATTTTTTTAAATTGAACACCCTGTATATTATTATATTTTTAGATTCTACGATTGAAATAAAGGTAAATTTTATTAAGGTTTATCAGACTTAAACCTTACCGTTTTTGAAATATTTTTAATTTTGTGAAATTGCAGTAAAAATTTTAAGGCTTCATTTCTCCAAGGGTATCAAAGTTTTTAATACTAAATATTTACTGAAGTTTATTTATTGATCAGTTATTGTGTTGCAATAATAAAAATTATACTACCTTGTACAGAGTGTCTAAAATTTTATTTTAAATAATTACTAGCTTTAAACGGCAATAACTTGTTTAATTTAAATGGAACGCCCTATATATTTTAGGAGAATCAGATGCATAATTTAATTGTCTATCAAATTGTATTATACCACTTTTTATCTATCCCTTCAAGTTTTCGTAGAAAATACATTTTCTTATAATTTAGACCTCATTTATCAATATACCCATGGAATATTGACATTTTAGATTGTTTTTAAAGCAACAAATGTACAAAATGTACAGGCTAGTAATATTATCTTTTTCAGCAAAATGATAATATTACTAGCCCATTTGTATGCAAAAAGAAAACTATTTAAATCTTCATAAAAGAGTATACTATTAATTAAATATACAACCATTATTTCCGCCCAAATACTAATTAATTACATACTTAATTATGTTCGTGAATAAATTATTCTAAATAAATGTGGATTTGAATCAGAAATCAATATAATAATAAGTTATAAATGTGAATGTCTCTGTTCTTACAAATAAGCATTTGTCAAAAAATTAAATATCATTTTTAAGGTGTTACTTTTTACCACACTGTCTAATACACACAAAAAATTCAGTTTTTTAGTTTTTGATGCAATTATTATTAATCAACGCAAACAGTCAATTAATGTAGTTTGAATATTGGAATCATATTAATTGGTCCTCTTTAACAAATATTTAAACAGTTCTTTTTATTTTTTAATGAAATAGACAAACTATATCAACAATATTAGTATCTGTACTCTTTAAAAATTTGGTACATCTTTAAAAATAATCTAAAATGTCAGTATTCCATGGGTATATTGATAAATGAATTTAAAATTACAAGAAAATGCATTTTCTACGGAAACTTGAAGCTATAGGTAAAAAATGGTATAATACAGTTTGATAGACAATTAAATTGTGCATCTGATTCTCATAAAATATACAGGGTGTTTCGTTTAAATTAAACAAGTTATTGCCGTTTAAAGCTAGTGGTTATTTAAAATAAAATTTTAGACACTCTGTATAAGGTAGTATAATTTTTATTATTGCAACACAATAACTGATCAATAAATAAACTTCAGTAAATATTTAGTATTAAGAACTTTGATACCCTTGGAGAAATGAAGCCTTAAAATTTTGACTGCAATTTCACAAAATTGAAAATATTTCAAAAACGGTAAGGTTTAAGTGTGATAAACCTTTATCAAATTTACCTTTATTTTAATCGTAGAAACTAAAAATGTAATATTATACAGGGTATTCCATTTAAAAAAATACAACTTTGATATTTTTTATTTATTTGGGACACTCTGTATCTTGTAAATATATTTTTAAATTGTAGCTCTAATAGTCCTTCAACGAACCCAAAACTTACAATTTGTAAAAATCTAATCGTTTAGCTACAATACTCCGTGTCGTATGTGGTGAACAACTCTGTATAGTGCGTCTAGAAAGTATCCGGAATTTTATATTTTTCTTAATTTTAATGTATTTTTTTTGTAACACTCTAAGACAACAATAATCCATCACGGAGGTTGTGCCGATAATAGGCTATGACCAAAATCGCATTGCAACACAATCTATCAAATATTGTTAATTGTAAACCGGCTTAAGATTTGAGAAATAATGTCGCAAGTAAATAAAAGAGAAATGGTGGAATATTTGTATAGAAAAGGTATTCGAAACGTTAAAAAATTAGTCCAATTGACTGAACTCGGAAAAAGTGCAGTATATGAGACATGTAGCACTTATAGTAACTTTTACCCTCAAAATTTCATTCGAGTCACTAAAAGTACTTGGAAGAAAATTGTAATAAATCGAAAAATTATTAAGACTTAAACACCCTGTATATAGCTACGAAACAAAGCAGTATCGGACCTATGTTGACATGAAAAATAAATCTTATTTTTACGTGAGCAATCTCCCAACGAGAGATGGCACATGTTTTTTGAAACACCCTGTATTTAATATAACTCTAAATATTATTCCTTTTTTCTTAAGTATACAAAAACGAAGGATAAAATACATTTCACGACCAATTTGTCACAAGAACGACAAATCATATCTAGACTCGGTTAGCCATTTACGCTCGACAATCCCCCGTGACACATCACTTTCCTCATCTCCATTAATCCTTCGCCATCCCTTTAAGCCCCCCCCCTTCACCCCACTACTCCACCCCATTTCCGGGCATATTGCAACAGTTTCCATTAAGCGTCTCATCAGGAAAATGTCATCTTCGATACCTCTGGGCTATAGCAAAGAGGACAGGTTTGCCAGGACTTGGAGATTGAATTTTATCTTTGAAAACGTTCTTGATAATGACATATTTCTTGTGCGAACATTTATGTCTCTGGTATACTTTGCGTTACAAAGGCCTCTGTGATAAATTGTCAAGTTGGTTTTCGACGTTTTGTATTATTTAGTATAACATGTCGAAAATAAGTCCTCCTACTCTGGGATAGTGATGGGCACTACAATTCTTTTTAGTGAATCGAATCACATGATTCAATTTCTCATATTGAATCGGCTCCTACGATTCGTTCATATATTGAATCAATACTTACGATTCGTTCATTTGAACGAATCACATGCACAATTTACGATTCATAAAAACAAGAATCATAACTGGCACTACCGGCGATAATTTGGTAGGACAATTACTTAAGTTTTAAAATATAATTAATAGTAAATTAATAATTTAATAAGTTATTAAAATAAGTCCTACTACTCTGGGATAGTGATGGGCATTACGATTCTTTTTAGTGAATCGAATCACACGATTCAATTTCTCATATTGAATCGGCTCCTACGATTCGTTCATATGTTGAATCGAAACCTACGATTCGTTCATTTGAACGAATCACATGCACAATTTACGTTTCATAAAAACAAGAATCATAACTGGCACTAGCGGCGATAATTTGGTATAATAATATCGAAAAAAAACGGGCGTCAGCGATGGCTATGAAATGAAGATCGCTGTCATTTTTATATGTAAAATTATAAAGAAAAGGACATCGATGTTCAATTCCAGGCCAACTAGACGTCGTTTTTTTTCGATTATACGGTACATGACAATGTAATACAATTATTATCGATTTTTTATAGATGGAAAATTAAAAATTACATACGAAAGGGCGGTAAAAAAATAATTTTACCTATGAAGGGTATTATATTAAAAATTGTATAAAATTGTACCTGATATTTTTATTTAGTCCAGTATAGATTTTAGCCATTATATTGACTATTGACCCACACATACGTATATATAAGAACTATTAAAACCCCGAATATAAATTCAGATCTGTTAAAATAATCCTTCTATAATTAATAATTTATACTAATGAATATATACCTTAAAAATCTTTTAATTGTCACCTGAGAAGCACAAAATATCTATTAAGTTCTTTGATTAAGTTACTTACCTTTTTCTTCAAAACCATTGTGAAAGAAGAACTAAAGACACTCAGAAACACTAACCGAAATCATACAAGCGTACAAAATGAAGCGATTTTGGTCCCTAAACAATAAAACTGTTCTAGATTATAAAAGGCACTGAAAAATGATATTTTATTGACTAGTAAAAACACAAAACACGAAAAGTTGAGGTAGGCTACAGAAATGATACGCGTGCGCTTAAAAACGGAATATAATTAAGCAGTTATTTTTGTTACCATGGCAAGGTAACAACCTGCAAAAATATGTTGTAGGTATTTTTTTATTACATAAGCATTATTAATTTTAGCGTTTGGAAAAATAAAAAGCGCGTAATATTTTTTGCCCAAAATCTTTCCCGCCATTTAAAATTTCAGGGAATAAAGTATATGCAACCAAACATACACTAAATAATTGAAAGAATTTTTCATATTTAACAAGGCATACTTTAAAAAAATTATTAGTCGATAGTTTTATACAGATAAACATATAACTACTTTACAAAACGTAATTGTTCTTGATTTATTTTATAAAAATACAATAGTTTTTGACCAACGCAATATTAGGTCGCCCACGAGATTTAAACCAATCAAAATATTTCATTTAGTGACGCATGCCCGCCCAACCAATCAATATGCGAAAATCTAGGTCAGTTCAAAAATTGAAGCAGGAATGGAGATAATTTCCTTTATGTTTATTTTTATCGCACTGTGAATTGTAGAGAAGTACGAAACCCCAGTGTTTGAATGAATTTGTTCCATTCGTTATGGGATTCGTTATTATTATGCAAACGAATCAGTTTTATCGGGGGAGCTGTCAGTGTTCAACAAAATTCATGTTTTAGGTTAAGCAAAATGTCAAAGTATCAAAATTCGAAGTGAAAAAGAAAACAATGTCCGAAAAATCGAAATGTAGCGTTAATTCTGACGGTAGTGTGAGTTTGGGTGATATATTACATTCATTTAACTCTTGCATAAAAGAAGAACATGCATGGGCCCTATGCTATCAGCTTTCCAAATATTTTTTCGAATCTCTATCCACGAAAAAACATCACATTCATAAAATAACTGAAGTACAACATGTTTTTCTAAAAACCGATGGATCTGTTCACGAAAATACTAGTCTAGCAAGGGATAAGCCTAGGGAATTAATAAGGTAATTTGTTGACTCATGATTTTTAAATAGTTTGGACCTAATGATAAGTTTATTGTAAAACATTTACCACTCCCCAATAATCTTTTCGAAACTAAAATCAAAATATTTTTCTGCTGGATTACTTTTCAAATTTTGTGATGCAATATTATATTGAAAGTTTAAGTAAGTTTAATTTTTTAAATTAACTTAATCTTAATCCTCTAAAGTTTAGATAAATTATCTTTGGCAAGTTAATGATTTATTTTTTTTGTATACAGTAAATTCTATATAATCAATAGATAAATATATTAATTTTTAGATGGAAAAGATGGAATTCAAATAGATGTTTGTTTAAACCAAAAGGTTTATTACAGAAAAATATTTTTTTAAATTATTTTCAATTTTTAAAAATAGTTTAATACAATTATGTCATTATTATATTTAAAATCGTTCGAATATACAATATTTTAATTTTAGAACATTACATATTTTTGATAATAAATATTGCCAAAACAATCTTTCAATCTTTAATGATCTGTTTCATCTGCTCATTATTTTTAATATGTTGTTTAAATATTCCACCGAAAATTTTATCTAACAGTCATTGACTGCCATTTCCTTTTTTCCATATTTAATTGGGACTAGTGAGTCACTCTTTAATTTAAATCAGATAATTAAGTATTTCCTAAAGTATCTTCAAAATAATTTGGTACTACACACCTGTTCCTGTACTTTGTATTTGCATATGCAATTACAGACCATGAAATTAAATGAGGACTATCTCCAGGTTACAGTTGAAATCAAGGTCTAAGTTAATTTGTAAAGGTCTGAATAGTTTTATTGTTATTTATGACTGTTTTGACTTTGTACTACTTATTTTTATCAACTACTTCTTCAACTGAAGGTTTTTACATTTACATAAAAATTGCATTAACAAAATACAACTTTGAATACCCTGACAATTTTCTACCCATTAACTGGGTACCCAGTGAAATGTTAGATTTTAGTCATTAAGTACTTTAATGTTTTAGTTTATTAAAGTTTGGATATGAGGATCAAGTTGCAAAAACCGCCTTATCCAAAAAATCCTTTTTAAAAAAATGACCTAATGGCATATATTAATAGTTGACCCTAAAATCTACATAAACATAGTGTCAAATTGCAGCAAAAGTCGCCTATTTCTCTATAAAATTCACTACAAATTACGTTACTGCAGCAAAATCAGGCTTATCCACTTATATTTGCTTTTTATTGTCATTATTGTAGCAAATCCCGCATTTTTTCATAGGCTTTTTACACAAATAATATAATATTACTACTGACGTCTTATTCATTTCAAATCCTTGCCTAATTTTAATAAAATAGCATACCTACCTAATAATTTCAAGTTAGGATGCAAATATCTTGCTGTAGCATAACCCACAATATGCATCATACTGCAACAAAACCCTTATCCAAATTATATTTGTGGTTTTTCCCTTAAAAATTAAATATTGATTTTTATTTCTAGAAAACCCAGATACAAAATAATGATTCCACTCAATGGACACGTTTTTTGTAAAATAACATTGCAAACATTTGCTTGCGAAACAACGTTTTTTGGATAAGACGAATTTTGCAACTTGACGACTCATATATAGACCACAAGAGTGTAGCATTTACTGTATATTAACAAATGTAAAAATAAGAATTATTAATAATATATGAACACTAGTTATGGTAGAGAGTGTCTCAGCTGAGCTTGCATTATAGTTTTTAGAGAACTATAATATCTGGATTGGAGCTTTTTTGTAAATTTATATTTTATAATGGAAACTCTCAGAAAATCACTCTCAAGTTAAAAAAAAAATTGTGTCCCTCTGTCATGAAAAGTCACAGTCAAATCAAATTAAAACTTAATCCAAAATGTTATACAGGGTGTGACAAAATTAATATTGAACATTGGTCGCCTTTAAAAGGGCGTTACCTTTTTATTTTAAATGGAACACCCAGTATATTATTCCAATATTCAATGGAAAATTCATGTCTCTTCAAAATACTATTAAGGTTGCCTACCCCTCAAGCAAAGATTTTCCTAGATATTTTCATTTACTTGATTTGATGTGAGTAGATCTTTATTATTTGATAAATTCTAAGTGGCCGGTGATTATGTCTGACGTTACTTCAACATAGCTGTCAAATTAGTCCAACTTTAACAACTAGTTATCATTTTGTGTCAGTTAAAACAAAAAAAAATCTCAGAAATTTGCTGAAAATGCAAACTTATCCTACATCAGAGATAATTGATATGATTCTATTAGTTGGTGAATGCAGTGTGCAGTGTGCATTCACCAATTAATAGAATACTTTAATGCTCCTGATTTTATTTAGTCTGGGTGTTTTTATGGGGATATGTTAAAGACAGTGTTTATAAAACTCGACAACTAGTGTCGACAATATGAGAGAAATTATTGTAGCTGCTTTTCGAGGTAGAACTTCACATATGCCCTTTAAAATCAAAAGATCCTTTTGAAAAGACAATCATTTTATGCAGTTAACAGGAAAGGAAGCATTTTGAGCATTTGATTTCATCTAGCTAATTTTTGTCGCATAATTAGGTTTATATCTAGTTTCAATTATGTAATAATTAAAATATGTTTTAAACGGATGTCTTTTTATTACCCTTGAGTATTTTACTCTACAATCTTTAATTTTTGTTAAATTAACAAAAGGTATATCACGCAGCCACCTAGATATTTTCAAATAATAAAGATTTACTGACGCAAAATCATGAAAATTAAAATATCTGGGAAAATCTTTGTCTGAGGGGTAGGCAACCTTAATAATATTTTGAAGATATATAAATTCCCCATTAAACACCGGAAAAATATACTAGGTGTGCCATTTAAAATAAAGAAGTAACTTGCTTTTAAAAGTGACTAATGTTCCATATTAGTTTTGTCACACCCTGTATAACTTTTCGGGTCAAATTTCAATTTGGTTTAACATACAATGGTTACTGTAATTAAATCTCAGGCTATACAAAGCCAACTAAAATTTAGGTAGCTATTATCGAAATTTAAAATTTACTCTTCATTTTCACAAAATGTGAAATATATCAGAAACCTTAGATTTAAGGTAAACTTTAATAAAACTCACCTTTATTTTTTCCCTAGAATCCGAAAATCAATTAATATATAGGGTGTTCCATTAGAAAAATCACAACTTTGATGTGTAACTGTTTTTGGGGACACCCTGTATAATTCTATATATTTTTGTAAAATGCTTTCAATTAACCTACATATGCTGCCAAAATTTCATTTCGATATAAACTACCGTTCTCCTTGGAACTTCCGCGGCGTATGAGAGGCGCCACTCTGTATATCAATAAGGAAAATATAAAAAAATAATTTTTCTCTCTATGATAAATATCCTCGTATGTAATACTATAGATCTTTTGTAGAAATGAAAAAGTTATAGTAGCTGGCATTGGAGTTGTAATTTATGCTACTTTAGATCATGAATTTAGCGAGGGTGAAGAGGTGATAATCAGCAATGAATTAGAAGACCTCATAAGCGATATGATATCGGATGATTTAAACAGTACACACAGTCATCATGAAACAGATGATGAAGGTACATCTACAAGTCTATCCAGCGAGAGAAGGGACGATTTCGACAGACGACATCCAAAATTTGACAGAAAACACAATTTATTTTTGAATTATAATGATAGAGAAGAATTGTCACTGTCATGAATTCTGTCGTTGGGCAGACTTTGGTCTCATTTTTATTTGAATATCTATTTAATGTGAAAACTATGCTTTCTTTGAATATAGTATTATTTTTGTGATTTTAAAGGCATTGAAAGAGATTCAGAGGAGTCTTTTGAAGCTGGCCCATCAAAATCAACCCGTATAAATCTAGCTGAAGTTATTAGAAGATGTGAGACTCATTTAGGTACATGCGGAAAACCATAACTATTGTTTGTTTAGCCATCGTTCAACGTCACGTCATGTATTGTCCTTTTTTCACTTGGCAACCAGACGAAACAGATTGGTGACGTCATTACGGTATTTCGTAAATTACTGCATATTGTTTTTAGTAATTGTCATTTGATTTGGGGTTATAATTTTATTTACGAATATTGATCACTGTCAAAATTTGCTTTTAGTAATTGCTATTTGATTTGGGATTATAATTTTATTGATGGACGTCGATCAATAATGTCAAAATTAAAATATACATAATAATGATTATGTAGCGTTGAGCGATCGCTGACCAGACAGTATTTAAAAAAGCAAGCATTGTCTTACATTAAGATTATTTCAGGTACCCTAACGAAAGCGCAAGTTGAAGCTCACTATAAAGCAGTAGTGAGGGCTCTGGTGGCTGAAGCTATAGAGCTCTCGACGTTTTTGGATAAAGTTGCTCAGGGCACCATTAGTTTACCCTCGTGTTCCACTGCCGGCAACTTGGACGAGTTGAAATTTGTTGATTGGGCTAAATTCTGGGTTCAGGTTATGGGTGAATTAAGAACAGGTACATTTTTAGATATTTCTTGTTTTTTTCTTTGTAGTTTCCTATTTTTATTTTTTTAAGCTTTTGTGTAGATGTCTTTCTAATCTAGGAAAAACAAAAAGTCTTTGTTCTAGGTGTCAAATTGAAGAAAGTGAATTACAGCAAGGCGCCTATCGAATATGAATTAACGCCTTATGAAATATTGATGAAAGACATAAGAAATTGCAGGTACAATTTGAGAAAAATCATGGTGAATGGCGATATACCAAATCGGGTATCAAAGGATGCACATGCAATTATTTTGGATTTTATAAGGTTAGTTTTCAATTTCTTTTTCTTCTTTTTTGAATCTAAATTTTAGGTTTTGTAGATAACATTTCCTTTTGTTTTTGTTACTTGGTAGTTTTTGCTTCCTTATGGTTTGTGGACTCTGGTGGTGGTTTATTTATTATTTCAGTTTTATTTATTTATTTTGTTTATTAATTTGTTTTTGAAAATATATTGTTAATAAATCAATTTGTTTGGTAATTTAAGTTTACTGCACCCTACCCATTTCCTCTTAAAAATTATTTCCTTTTTTTATTAACCAATATGTGTAGATAACTTTCTTTTGCTCTTGTTGTCATTTTTGTATTTCTATTTTATTCTCTTTACAGGGCGATCCAGCCGCCCGAAAAAGATTTTTTTTTCGAAAGAAGCTCTTTGGTTTGGGATTTTTAATCCAATCATTTTTTGTAAAATATACGGGCAATGATATTAGTGATGGGATAACACGCGCGAAAATTCGCTCGAGTACTCAATTTTATTATTGAAATAACCGACATCGCTCGATTATGAACGAGCGATGCAAGCGACGAGGTACGAGCAACGGACGCAAGCGATCCTAGAATGAAATAAATTGAAATCCGATTTTAATGTGACATACTCAATAAGAGCCGAGCGAATTTTCTACATACATTCCAGGTAGTAAATTTATACGACGTTATCCGTTGCTGAGTGACAAAATGTCATGCGAACTACTCGTCGCTCGTCGCTGGTTACTTGCCATTCATCACCGAAAGAATATGTGCTCTATTAAAAGATGCTCAAATTATAGTTTTAATCATACCTCATTTTTTTCAAATGAACCGAGGGTGCCTCATTATTTGGGAAAGAGATTTTTTTACAAATAATTTATTACCACACACTTGGTATTTCGTGACAAATTGTTGTTATGAAGCACATGTTACAATTTCAAATAAACCGTAAAATGACATATGATATGTCATTCTATTCAGAGTGTTATTTTCTATCGAATATAGTAAAAATATCGAGGGTGTCATTTAAAAATCAAAAGTTGTAGTTGTTTCCAGTGAATCAGGAAGTGGCCGAAAACAATTGAATACGTCAATCAATCCTAATTTATAATACCAACATACCAAATTTTGTTTTTTTTATCTGAAAAAACAAAAAAGTTATAGAGGTGAGTCACTTTTGAGACATACCCGGTATAACATGATACAGAGTAAGCCGAAACTTTATGTTGTATTTCAAATGGAACACTCTTTACTTTTATGACAAGATGGACGTAGTTTTTAACCAACCTGTTTTGATAAATTATTTTTATATGCAAAATAATGTTTATACAAAATGTTAAATTTATGATTTACCCTATATATGTAACCCTATATATGTATTTACAAAAATGTACTGTACTATTGTTCGTATATTTTATAAAAAATGATTGGAGCCAAAATCTCAAAAAACAAAACTCTTATAGAGCTTTTTTTGAACACTGAGTCACCCTGTATATTCGTAGTGATATTTTGTTACTTACCGTTTATTTATTTATTTTATATACCTAGGTATTATTTCTAATTATCAATTTGTTAATTTAAGAATGCTGCACCTACTTTTTCCGCAAAATCATTTAAAGAACATGATAAAGATTTTATAAATTAACTAGTAAATATTTGACGTCAAATAATTTAGATTTAAATGTAAATGACTAATTGCTTTGAAGTATCATAATATCATATTAAAAACATTCTTGTTGTTAATGGGAAAACGTGTTAATCATAGTGCGAAATATTTTGATAAATCGTAATTTAAAAATATTACGTCTTTCGTAGATCAAGACCTCCTTTAAAAAAAGTTTCTGATCGAAAATTACCTCCTCAATCCAAAACTCTCACACCCAGAGAGCAACTTTTGCTCTCCATCAAAAAGGGAAGAAAACTCAAACCTGTGCCCGTGCCAAGGTAAGAAATACTATACCAGTAGTTGGTCGGTTTGGTTTAGTTTGGTTTTAAGTTTATAACTTGCGAGACTTCGCAAGGACATTTTAAGGCAAAAAAATTCACAAGGACAATTTGTTTAAAAAAAAGTACTCTCCTTTTCAAAAAAAGGACTTACCGTTACCTCGCTCAATAACTAATTGTTACTTACTTTAATTTTGATCTCCACAGGGCTTGCCATCGATATAATAGTGTAGATAAGGAGCTTCCAAAACCTTCAGGTAGAAAATTAATTAAAGTCGATTTTTCTCAATTTGAAGATGACGATGACGAACTCACAGTAGACACTCCAGACTCAAGTGAACCAGGTAAAAGGGAACTACCAATAAAATTTATATCAGAGACAAGAAAATAAACGAACTGTGATTATACTGACAAAAAGATAAATATTATAATTAACTTTCATGTAAGGGAGGAATTTTTTTTACAAAGATAATATACTTGTAGGATTATGGTCATCCGAATATCAAGAAATCTGCGATAGTACATTAGATGTGTATGATTTAGCTACCCAAGCGTGTAACTTAAACAAAAGAAGAAGTACCTTAGGTATTATTCAGTGCTTTATTTAGTTATTTGTATAATTAGAACTATACTCTTTGTAGGTGTTACTGAAACAGCTTTAGGCTGTTATTCTGTACCACAATCGCGGCCAGGATCACGACAATCATGTAACAGCACGGAATCCGAATCAATGCCAATGGAGCCCGAGGTCGCTAGAGCTTTGCAAGAAGAACTCACCAACACTCAAAGCTGGCAAGACTCTATTTCCTTAGACGATAGGTAAGATTATGTCACCCTTAAGCGTCCATTTAAATTCACTAGTCCGAAAAAGTAGCAAAATAAGCGTTAAAACAGTTTAAAACTGGCTTGGTATTTTTACATAAATGAAGAAGGAAATTAAAGATAAAGGATTATACTATATCCGTATTGTAGCATATTTTTGACAACTTCTTTATTTTTAAGATTTTAATGATTAAACATCAACAAAATATTCCTTATGTTTGGACTAAATTTTCTCGAAAATAAAGACATAATTTAAAATTCCGTTACAATACGGAAATATATTGAAGTTTTGTGATTACAGTGATATATAATTTATATGGTTTTGTAACAAATTGCTCGCTATTTTATGGCAAATGCTGAAGCTCTGCAAACCTTAATCAAGCCTTAATCAGCAGTAATAGAGTCTGACTAATTCACTAATTGTCAAACTACTGTTACACAGTCCTCTGAGATGCCTTAAAGTTATGATTTACCATTACTTTTGAGAGATGATGAGTTATAATATTTAAGTATGTACTACTATTTCAGGCTTTCACTCACCTTGTCAGAGATAGTTCACATTAGAACGGTGCTTACTAAAGCCGAAGTTGAAGCTTTGCCGACAGAAGGTCGCGTCAGACACGACGTGGAAAGTAGGAAAGTTTGTTTTCTTTGTTTAAAAACGAGGTGATATAATTTAATAAGCTAAAGTAACTGTTTATAAGTGACAAATAATTTCAGATTTGGCATTTTTGGACCCTGGGGTCAGCGATGCACGCTTTGCAAACGCACTGTCTGTACAAAATGCTATTCGAAAGTAAATATTCCTATGGAACATTTCAGTAGCGTTCCTGTTGTATTACTAAGTCCCAGCAGAATGTGTACTCCGGAGGAAGAAACAAAGGTATGAAAATTACAGGTTATTACCATTTAATTTAAAGATGGTTAAAACTGTTACTTCAAAATAACAGTTGGAACTGATACCGTTATTTTTGGAATAACATCTTAAAATAAAACATTTCTGTTATTTGCGGATTTTATTATTAATTATAAACTAATAAAAAGAAAAGATATGCTGTATATTAATAAAAATAACAAAAATAAAAAAAAAACAATTAAATTTCAAGCACTGTCATTTTTATAGCTGTTATTTTATGGGAGTTGTTTATGTTTAAATCCTGGTAAAACTCGTGGCACGACCATTCCGCCTTCACATCGCAAGCCATCACCAAAAGTGACATTTCAAGCACTGTTATTTTCATAACTGTTATTTTACAGAAGACTCGTCTGTTTCGAGTCTAATAAAACAAATTGCGCGGTGGTCCCGAATTTGCATCGCGAGTTATATTGTTTTTTCCATACTTATTATTTTTTGGGAATTCCAACTGTTTGCGAATGGTTATTTTTAAATAACAGTTTTTAAATAACGGAGAGGTAAATAATAATCCGTCTCTGATGTTATCACTGACTGTTACTTTTTGAAAATGGCCACCGTTATTTAAGAACTGTTATTTCTAAATAACAGTTCTTAAATAACGGGGAGTTAAATAAAAACTCGTCTCTAATTTTATCACTGACTTTTAGGAAACGCTAACAAGATCTTTAATAAACAAAATGAGCTCAAACCCATCTTCTGGAGGTCTGTCAAAAGACAATAGTCCAGACGTTAGCAAATCACCCAGCGCATCTATTATGGAAAGTAGCGTTATTAGTGATCCAGGTAATGTTTTTTGGCTTTTTGTCTATTCAGCGCTGTAATCTGATTACAAATAAATTGAAATGGTTCTCAATTCTGTAGAAAAGTGTATTTAATGTTTTAACAAACAAAAATCTTAATTAGTAAAAGCGATTTATGTTCTCTGGTACCATATTGTATCAATGTATGTATTTAGGTTCTGTTCAGAGTGCTACAAACGTGTCAAAATTTCGCACAACTGCCTCAACAGTGGGAAGAGCTTCAAGAGTTGTTGATCGCCTAAAGGTAAGCACACAAATATTATATCATCAAAATGGACAGAATATTTGAAGTGAAACTTCTTTACGCGCGCTGGGGTAGAAATTCAAGGCCGTGACACGACACGCGACACGACAGGCGATAGGGAAAGTGGTAAGGACAGCCTACGGCTTAGAAAAAATCGTCCTTAAAATTTAAATGAAATTTGGTATGTCGATAGATTGGACCAAGGCCAACTTGACCGTGTGCGATACGTTTCACTGTGACAATTAGTTTTGATGTAAGAAACGTCAAATGCTGATGTCGTCCGATCGCGACCAAGTTTGGTGGGTAGGCTATGTGAGCGACGGTGCACACGGTCCCACCCTTCAAGGTTGGATACGACGTTTCGTTTACATCTTCATCAGGGTGGGACTACGGATTTGATATTGAAGAAAAATGCGGGTTGATCTCGGCATAATTGGAGTCGGGCTACAGGATGACGCCCTCGACGTTTCGAACCGATGCTTCTAAATGGACAAAATCATCAGGATTTTTCTTAATTATCGGTCGATTGGAACCAAACTCAGCACGTTGATAAAGGTACCCCAATGGAATCCTCAGACGCACAAACGGCCATTTTAATACAAATTTTGTGAAAATGAATCAAATTATTTAGTAATTTTGAATTTATTACTTTTTCAACATTTCAAACTACACTTTTTCAAACATTTCCTTCAAATCCTTCAATTTAATAGCTGTTAGTAAGAAGTTTCACTTCAAATATGCGCACATAGTGCACCCAATTTTTTTAAATAATGAAAGAAAATTTAAAACATGGGTGTTCTTCCAAGAAATACTTCGATTGATATAAGAATAAGTTATTTAAGAGAAGTTTTTAGAAAAAAAATACCCAATAATATATTCTGCAGAATGCATATATTATACAGAGTGCATATGCAATATGCACACTAATGAAAATATATATAATTTACAAAAAAAATATTATTTTTCTTTAGGGTACGCAAATGATCATGTGTCTCGATTGCAAAATCATGGTTTTACAAATCATAAAGTCAGCAAGGGTGAATCGGTCGGCAATCAGAAATAAAACGCTACAAACCTTAACTCTCAACCTGTCACCTGTGTTTTAATAAATGTGATAAGATTTTTTTGATTTGAGGCACTAAATAATCGGTACCACATGTAAAATTTCAGTCGGCACCTAAAAAAAATTAATATTAAATGGCGACTATGAATATGATACAATTTATTATGTTTATTACTTTAGAACATTTAAAGTTAAACATCTATTTTAGCAGTATTAAATAAAAAATAACAAATTATAATTATGTTAAGATACAACTAATACAAAATCATTTTAAAGGCCACTAAAGTAATATGTACCTCATAATGATTTAGAAAATAAGGTATGGTTTAGATATATCTATTTGTAGTCACCTATATGATATGTTTAGAGTAAGAGAACCTACTGTTATTCTATAAAAGTAATACCAAAGATTTATTTTTTAATGATAGGTACATATCTTTTTCATATTAGTCAATTTCTGCTCTAGATCGATACTATCGAAACTATATTATTTTGTCTCATCCTTCTAGATATTTTCCAAACCAAAGACTTTCATTTTGTGATATTTTACATAAAAAAATTAGAATAATGTAGCAAATTTTATTAAATTGGCATTGAGCTTCAGTAATATTAAAATATATTCTGCCTATGGTAGTAATATCACAGTATAACTGGTACTGTGTTGGTATATTGCCATTTTTTGCACTTTCTTAAACATATCCTGCAGTCAAAATCTTTTTTTGTCATTTGATATACAGGGTGTTTTAAAAAACATGTGCCATTTCTCGTTTGGTTTGGTTTGACATTCAAATTGCTAAAAGCACTTGGAAGCAAATTATAATAAATCGAGAAAAAAATGAAGACTTATCCCTCCTATAGCTACAAAACCAAGCAGAATCGGACCCATGTTGGTATGAAAAATAAATCTTATTTTTACGTGAGGAATCTCCCCACGAAAGATAGCACATGTTCTTTGACACACCCTGTATTGAAGAAATTCATTGAAGTTAAAAGGTTTCTTGAACAAATTGATAACTAAAAAATCCCATTTATTTCTAACTTTATGGCATATACTGTATATTACGATAAATTTAATAGGCATTCAGCTTCTGTAATTTATATAAGTTCTACTCAATAATATTACAGTATAAGTTATACTGTGACATTACATTGCCAGTATTTTATTAGTATTATGCACTTTCTTGCTAAAAATTCAACTCTCCTCTGTGTTATAAAAAGTATTGCAGAATTTTGTTGAAAAAAATGTACTTGTAAGTTTACTAGTCAGAAGAAACTGTGTTTCAATATTTATTCTTTTATTTCTCGTCTTGTAGTTTTATTTTCTGACCTTTTAAATGTCTTATTTTTAATTATTAATGACGCGTTAGTCGATTTCAGTTTATCTTCATATTTATTGTATCTCTTTCATTTGACCTTCGGTAAATAAATAGCTTAAGACAATACGAATGTTATTTTAATCTAAAAAAATTAGCAGAAACTATATTCATTTTATTCAACTAAAGTGCATTAAATCAAAGAATTTACAATGGTAATCTAGCAACTCGATACTACATTCCCTAAAACTTGAAAATGAGTAGTGATAGTATTTTCTCAACTCTACCTGTTGCAATCTAGCATTTGTTTTAATAAATATAGTTTAAAATAGATTATATAAACTGAATATAGATCATTTTATTTTCATAACTGTAATTTTATTATATATTTCTTCCAAAATATAAATGTTTAAGAAATAAATAATATGCTGTGTTGCACGTTTGTTTTATTTTTATTGTATTTATTGTATGCTACACTGTACCCTAATAATATAACCGACAAAAAAACAGTGTCAGTGATCTTTAGGTCATTTATTACAAGACAACATAAAAACTTAATTCTTAATCCCAATAATTTGTTTGGTAAAAAATATAATTTGGAGAATAGACTGAAAGGGAATCTGAATCTTTCTCTTTAATTTGTTAATTATTGTTATTCCTGTTTGTAACAAAAACAAATATTGCTGTAGGAAGTCCTTGTATTTTTTTTTTCAAAAGTTGTAGTATAAATGTTATTACAATTTGTAACATGGACCAAATAAGAAAAATAAGCTCTTAAAAAAATATTTATAACATGTTAAAAAACAATAAGAGTATATCGATATAAATTAAATATAGATTAAATTTAGTAAAATTGATGCATTTAACTAAAACTTTTCTTCGTCCAATCCATGTTTCAAGAACATCAAAACTGGCACTGAGTCACCATTAATTTCCCGATATTCTAAAATGCCTACGAGACCTAAAATTAAGGTAATTAATTATTAGCTGTTTAAGAATTATTTATTTTTTATTATTTACCTTCAATTTCCATAGATTCTCCAGTAAAGAACTGAAGATCCTTAAACCTACTTAGAATATCTTTCATTACTTTATTTACATTGGTCTTAAATATTTCTACTTGATCAGGAGCATCTTGCTCTAGTTTTGGGATTAGTCTAAAAAGCAATAATTTAATATTAAATAACTAAATATGAATATTAATAATATATGTATAATAACAGAGTATTAATACCTATATGACATGTTTTAAATATAACTCAATTTGTTACACATAATCAAATGTAACAAAGTAATAACTATTTAAGAATTTATTTAGCATGAGTAAGCTCTAAATAATGTATAAAGCACCAGTATTTAGTATTAGTGCATGCATAATATTGATCATATTTAAATACAGTACTTTCTTATTGATATACTTGGTTATTCTGTAAGTATAGATATAAAACATTATTCAAAATAACTTACTTTTTCATATAATCTTTTAAATACAATAAATAGGACTTCTTGTCTGGGAAAGCATAACTTTCAGCCAGTCTGTGGTTTAATACAACGTCAACTCCACTTTCTACATTACTATCTGCACCTTCATCAGCTTCTTCAGCAGAGGGATTGGCCCCATCAAGTAAAATCTCTCCTTCTTTTCTTGTAACATGTTTTCCATAAACTTCATACAATACATCATCAACTAACTTAATTTTGTACGTATCAGAGAACATTTCATCGCCTAAAAATAAATAAGAACTTAAATATAATAATTTAAATAAATAGCACTAAACGTAAATATGTCAAGATGACAGTTCATTACACAGCTGCTAAAAAATAGGTTTTTTACGTTGCAAATAATAATTAATAATAAAAATACACAGTAAATCAAATAGCACAGATATTTTCCATCAATAATTACCGGTAAGTTTATCCTTGTAGATCCTCATTTTGGAAGATGGTTTGGATTTAGATTTTAATCTCAATTTTGGGCGACCGACCTCCGTGAAGAGCTGACTAAAAAAGGTCAACGATTCTGACAGTTGAAGTTACGTCAATTGTCAAATTATATCTTCTTTTTTTTGTTTTAGGCATTTTGCATTATGTTTATTTGGTAATATATAGAGAAGATCCCCTACATTTTTCTTAAATAACGTGTTTAATATAGCGAGAGTTGTTAATATTCGGTAATTACCTAATATTCTTATTATTCAAAGACTTAATTAAATTGTAACTTAATTTTATGATGTCCCATTAATAGGATCGATAATTTATATATGATAATCATATATAAACATGTAATATATTATCCAGGGTTGGGCGTATACACAGTTCTTTCTTTTTTACCTGTTAATGTAAAAATGTTAAAAAAACCGTAAAAAACTAGTAAGAAAAAATAATCGAAAAACACCGCGGTGTTATTTAAAACAAGAGTTATGATTTGTTAACAGTCAAATGTGAACGTAGTTTTCTACGATTATTTTTATTAAATAACTTTTTTTACATGTAAAGAACTATTTTTTTACACTCTAGTAAATTTACACACTTATATCTACTCTTTGCTTATAGCTTATAGCTTTGGGTAATACCTAGCTTTGTTCTTTGTTGTTTAGAAAAATAAGTTCTAAAAATCTTAATTTTTAGAACTACCCATCCATTTACGGTAATTTTCTGTGCCTATGTTAATAAATAACTGAGCTGTGGCAAGATAGATAATTGAGCTGTGGTGTTAGCATCACTTCTATTAATTTGACAATTGCAACAGATGTCAAAGTTTAATTATGTTTTTTTAGTTTGTTGTAGTATTGTTAATTATTGTAACAATTTTTTAATTATATCTCCATTAATATGGCCCCAAATTGTATAGAAACATATATTTTTAAATAATTAACCTGTGAGATTGATTGGAACTTATTTAGAATGCCATAAATCAATTAAATAAACCGAAAATAAAATTACTTGGACAGAATATAGTGCAATCAAATTCAAAATGTTTAATAGTAGTCATTTATATGAGAAGAGACCTTTAAAAAAACTCAGGATCGGCCCACCTGATGTATATCCTCAGGAACCTAAACAAAAAGAGGATGAGTTAACTAGCGTTAACGTTAAACATGGTTTTCCTACTATGACACATTTAAGTGATGAATTTGGAACAGCAAGAAATTGTCCAGTTACTGCAAATAAAGTAATGTCTTCCTATTTTGTTTTTTTCCCTTATTAATGTGTTTTTATTTATACCCTTTAGGTGGGAGCCTATTTTAATGCTATTATTAATCGAAAAGAAGAGCTTAGTATGATGCATGATTCAGGCAGAAAACGTCAACAAATAAATGCAAAAGATAACTTTTGGCATGCCACTGTACGCACTAAAAATCATATTGAAGCATGGTTTAAAGATCTCGCTGCAAATAAGCCATTAATGAATTTGTCGAAAAAAGCACCAAATTTTAATAAAAAAGAGGAAATATTTATGATGCTTACTGAATATCAAGTACCTATGATGAGAGCTGCATGGTTTATTAAATTAAGTTCAGCATATACCGTGGCTGCTTCAGAGGCTAAAATTAAGAAAAGACAAATGTCTGACCCCACAACTGGTAATATATTATGATATTCTGCAAAATTACTTTGAAATAATAAGTTTTTGTTTATTTTAGAGTGGACTAGCACATTAATTAAGTTTCTAAAAGACCAAGTTCCTAAGTTGCAAGAATATTATTCACAAACTGATAAACCTCCTGTTAATGCAACTTTAACAACATTAGCTAATAATGAAACGGAACAAAAGTTAGCGTTAAGACATTGGATTTACTGTAGTAGATTATTAAAGTATATGTACGAGGAAGGTTTAATAGATAGACAGGAAGTATTGACATGTATTATTGAATTATTAGAAAAACATGATAAACCTAAGAGCCAACCACAAGAAGATGGAATTTTAAGACTGCTATTACCAATCACATTGCAGTATTTAGATGAATATGTTCAGTCTGAATTGTTATCAAGGAGACTTGCACATTTTTGTACAAAAAAACTTAATTTTATGTTAAACAATGTTGCTGATACCAATATAATTACTTCACCCCCGAGTGAAAGTAAAACTGATATAAAAGAAAATGAAAAAGATGTGAAGAAGGAGAATGTAGCACCCAATCCTATGCAGAGTACCTTAAATGAATATCAGAATTGTTCTTATCATAGAGATATGGGTAGGGTACATTTTTTAATTTATGTAATCTTATATAAATACATTCATTTTTAGTTCTCCAACTTAGTACCATAATTCATACAGTGTGTCTCGAATGCCCTACAGCCTTAGTATGGTGTCCAACTGGAACTGGAACACAATGGCATGGTTCTCCTTTAGACCATATACCTACAGGTAAATAACATATCAAAAAAACCTCACTTAATAACAGAATTTTTTGATCATATTGTATACAGGGTAGTCCAAACTGTATTGAAATAACTAAAAAAATTCATATAAATGTACATATGTCCTAAAAGGCGTAGTTTCGGAGATACAGGCTGGACAAATTTCATTTTTATTTTGATTTTTTTCCAAATAATTTCTGAAGTAACGTCAATATTTGGATGTACTTTTTATTTTCTAAGTTAATCATAAATTATTTTTCTTCGAAAAAATGATAATAAAACAGTTTCTATTGAACTTTTGGCACAAAAACATTCCAAATTTATTATTATAGTCTAATAACTATTTCAACATGTTTAATTTATGCCAATGATGACAGGTATTGATAATTTCAATTTCAAATATCTCGAGAATCGTTACTCGTAGCGATTTTTACCAAGACACCTTTTTTACGTAAAAAACGTCATAAATGTATATTTTTTTACTCACTAGTTTTATACAGGTACAGACGAAAAATTATTACTCTTCAAACTAGTTAAAAAAAATATTTAGGTGGCGCCCTCTACGAGGAGGAGTCATATTGACATCAAGATCAAATTTATCATGTCAAAAAACGCACAGACACCAATTTTCATCCAAATATTGACGTTACTTTACAAAATATTTGGAAAAAATTGAAATAAAAATGAAACCCGTATAATGTAGTATCTCTGAAACTAAGCATTTTAGGACATACATTTATACGAAATTTTTTACTTATTTTTATCTGCAAAATATGCTGTCCAAGTTTCCTGAATACAGTTCGGACCATCCTGTATACAGCAATTTGGTATGGTATATACAAAATAGCTCCTATCATGTCTATTCATGTTCCTATTTGAGGTTTACTACCATACCAAACTAAGCTATTTTTTTAAAAAAGGTGGAAGCACATATTTTAAAAATATTTGTATAGATATACAAGATACAAGGCGATGTAAATTAATTTTAAACTAAAGTAGTATTTTTTAAATAGAATTATCTAGTTTTACTTTTTCATTCTGTGGGTATAAAGCTTTTTCAATACACTTTATCACTCTGTAAATAATATGTTCAGAATTTTTTTATAAATATTGATTTTCAGTGCCTTCGGTACTTCCTATGCCAGCTCGTTGTGACATGAACACGTATAGAAAACAAGTTCAACATGCAGAACATTGCATTAGGGAGAGGAGTAAACGCGCTGAAGGAAAATGGTGCATGGAAAAATGGCAAGCTAGTGCTGCTGGTAAATTATGAACATAAAACATTGTTTGAATTGATTTTTATTTTTGTTTATTTTAGGCACTGTAACAACTAGGGTATTAGCTGCTTTGGACGCACTAGATCGACATCGTTTTGATAAAATGGACTCGACTAATTCCTTAGATACATTATATATTAAAGTTGGATATTTTATTAATTTGCAATTTACTTTAAAATAAGTAAATTATTATTTTTTACAGGTTTTTATGGGGTCAGGTGATCAAGAAAACGCTATTGTTAAGTTATTATGTGAATGGGCTGTATCACCGGAAAGAACTGGTGAACACAGAGCTTTAGCTGTTGCAGCTTTATTAGGTATGAAATAGATCATTAATTTTAATTTTACAGGATTTTTTTTTAAATTGTGCGTTTTGTTATCATTGAAGGAGCTGCAATTTAAAAGTATTTTCGCGTAGCAAAAGTATTTTCATATGTAGCATATATGTATTGCTTATAGATTTTTAAAGATCTGACTAACAAACAACCAATAACCTGAAAAGATATCTAAAAAAGGTGTAATACAATTTGAGAGATAATTATATTTTTTTGCCTCATATGCTGATTGAATTTACAGGGTATTTCATTTGAATTAATTGTAAAGTTAGAGCCAAAACACGCTTCGGTTTTTGGGCAGCTTTTTCTAATATTCTACATCTATTGTATTTGAATGATTTCCAACCAAAATTCAAAATGTTTTTAAAAATGTAATCCTTATAGCTGCAATACTTGCAACCCTGTATAATGTAGATAAATAATATGGATTTTCAGATAGGAGACAATCTGATGTAAATCCCTCTGAAAATCAAGACACTACTCAGGGCGATGACAAAGACAGCAATAGTTCGGTTCCTGGTGGCCCTCCAATGTTTCAGTCGCTGCTAATGAAATTTTTGGATACAGATGCACCTCTACCGAGTCCAGAGGATTGCGCTCAAGTAATGAAATGTCCATTGTATCTTAATTGTTGAGTATATAAATAAAATATTACTTTTTTAGAAAAAAACTGCTTTCTCAAACTTAGTGCATCTGTTCTCTGAATTGATACGAAGAGATGTATTTTCCCATGATGCTTACATGTGCACTCTGATATCTAGAGGAGATTTAATAGGGCACGAAGAAAACTCAGAAAGTATGACTAATACCTATAACAAAATGGAGGTATGTATAGCCAGTAATCGGTATACTGATTGGTCCTTTTAGAAGTGTGGTCATTTTAGAAGTGTGGTCCCAACCCTAGATGCAATATTTTCCACAAATGCCTACTTGTGCGGCTTGAACTTTTGATGCAAAATCCGGCAATAATCTGGCAATATCGCATAGAAGAAATGTATGAACCCAACTTTTATCTCTTTTTAATACATTTGATTTTTCACTAAGCTGCCTACATCACTGTTTTACACATTAAAATCCAGACCACATTTCTAAAATGACCAAATCGGTATAAACAATGGTTTACTTTACAGGGTTGCCTAGTATTCTTAAAAAGATTCATATTATATTAACATTAAACTTAAAAATTTCTCTTAAAGTTTGGACTACCTGTGTGTGTTCTTCTTTAAAATGTGAACTACCATTTCTCCATATTGTTCAAAAGATATTGGAATAATTGTGTCAAATAGTATACAAAATAGCCTGACATGGACCTCAGAACACTGCACTAGAACACCTTGTATAGCTTATATTACTTTCTGAGAGTTCTTGATATTTTAGCCTATGGACTATGATGACGCTGATGTCGATCATGACTTAGACAAACTTCTTCAAAATATCAAAGAGGATCAACAGAACTCTATGGATGTTCCTGATAGTCCTAAAGATCATGATCAGGGCCATCATTCTCATATTCCTAATATGGGTCATGTTCCTATAGAAAATTGTCATGGTGATCATAAGGTAAGCACTTTCAATTTTATAAAATCATAATAACTTCTTACAAAGCTTATATTAATGTTTACTATAATTACTGTATTTTTTTAGATTAAACCATCGCGTCATTTTCTCTACACGACGCATTTTCCTCTTAGTCAAGATGACCCATTCAGCCAACATGACTGCAATCAACGTCATGTACTTCTTTACGGCGTTGGAAAAGTTAGAGACGAAGCTAGACACACTGTAAAGAAAATGTCCAAAGAAATATGTAAACTATTTTCGAAAAAGTTTAGTGTTGATGTGGCTGAAGGTGGCAAGGTATAAAATATTTCTGTCACTGGGTAAAATGTCCCATATAAACAAAGCTTATTTTTAGGTGAAGAAACATTCTAGAAATGAATTTAACTTCGAAGCTACCACACAAAAATGTCAGAGTTTAAGTTATTTTGATCAGCATGTGGTCACTTGGCAATGCAGTGTTACAGTTATAGAAATGCTGAATTCGTTTGCCACTGGAAATTCAAACTATTTGCCCGTGCAAGAGCATGTAGCTTTTTTATTTGACCTCATGGAATTAGCTTTAAATATATATGGATTGATTGATGTTTGTATTCAAATTTTAAAGGTAAGAGTAACATGTGAATAGTTGACTTACATCTTGGGTCTCACTTGATTCATGTTGATTAAATAAATTTGAAATTTTGGTTCAAAATATAATCAATTAAAACTCATATATTTCATTAAATTGTTTATTACTTTTTTTAGTCAATGGCGGTTCGTGTATGAAATGCATTTTGTGCATTTTTCAAAGATAAAATAATTCCAAAATTTTTAATAAATATATGCATATGTAAAGACTGTTCAGCCATCGTTGACCGTTACGTCATCATTATTCATCAAATATGAGTTTTAGAGTGTGTTTGAGATCAGTTCATGTTGTTTAGAAAATTTTTAATATTATTGATTAGCCAATTAAAATCAGAAAACCAGGAAGACTTAAATTTAATATTATAAGATTTACCACTTTTTCTTATTTCTTTTTTGCAATTTATTGTTAAAGTTTCAGTTGGTCGCCCTTGAGATAAAACATCCCTGTTATCTTCAACTGTCCACCGTCTGAAGGGAGTTTCCAATAAATTGCACACAAAGTCATTAATTGGGTTAATTTTTTAACACATACACACACACAAAACAGTTTTAAAACACAACAACAAAACAAACAGCAAAAATTAACAAGTTAAATCAACAAAAACCATTAACAAACAACAATAAATAATCAAAAACAACTTTACAGTCTTTACACGGTTCGAAGTAGCCGAATATTAGCATAAATGCATAAATTATGCGCCAACGCCGCCCGCCGTCACGCATTTCCTGAACAATTAAGTTGAAGGAAGACGAAGAGAACTGCCCAAAAACTCATTCCCATCGGTCACCGATAATAAATTTCGGGGCGGGAGGATTTACATTTACTGCTAAGCTGACGTCACGTTACCATGGAAACCGTGCAGCCGCTTGGCTCACAAATACAAAAATTTTCACTTGCACTTCTGGTGTGCTTCTGACTTGTGGACGTGGAACCATAGGCGCGGCCTATAATTCTATTTTTTCGGCCGGAATTAACGATGAGGTGGACCTATTATGCAGAGGTCCGCCCGGAAAAAAATAAATAACTTATAAAATATAAAAAATATGAAGTATTAACAACAATTTAACAAAACTCTATTAGTGTAACACACATAGAGAACAATTAGTACTTATAACACATTATACAATAACAATTTAGAAACGAAAACACATTAACAATTCAGAAACGCCTAAAATAATTTATATGCTTAGCAATGAGCTCTTCTTCATTTTGGTTAAATCTTTGGGGCATTCTTGCAATAAAAAAATTGAATTTTGTTCTACAGCAACCATCAAATTTTAATTTTGACATTGATCGATGTCCGTCAATAAAATTATAAGCCCAAATCCAATGACAATGACAGTTACTAAAAAGAATATACAGTAATTTACGAAATGCCGTAATGACGTCACCAATCTCCTTCATCTGATTGGCAAGTGATTGAGAGAGTGCGACAATATATGACGTAACTTTGAACGATGACTGAACATTCTATACCTTTATTTTTAAATATATAATTCAATTTATTAATGCATTTTAGGAGCTTCCAGAAGTCGAAAATCAGTTATATAATAAAAACTCTGTTTTAAGCAGAAATTACACAACAGGGTTAAGTCTATACGTCGTTGGTGTTCTGAGGCGGTACCATTGCTGTTTATTACGTAAATAATACAGCCAATTGTTTAATTTCAATAGATATTTTATTGTAATTTTTTAGTATCACCAGAACAAACATCTGCTGTTTTTGAAGGCCTGTGTAAAGTGGTAAAGCACGTTAGTAACCCCGGCGATTGTAGTTCGGCCGAACGTTGTATACTTGCTCATTTATATGATCTGTATTCATCGTGTAACCTCCTTAAATCTAAACCCTATACTGTGGAACCGTTTGGAAACGCATATCCAAAGATTAAACAAGCGCTATATAGCGGTTTAGTATTGCAGCCTACGAGTAACGCTTACGTTTATAATCCTCAGTTTATGCAAGAACTTTTAAAAAATCCAAGGAGGGTCGGCAGAATAGAAGCATCTTGGACCAAACAATTAAATGAAAGTGGGAATAATAGGTATGACAGTTATGTACCCAGACTTAGCCGTCTTAAGTATAGCTGGTTTTTTTGGACTTGTTAAAACCAGACAAAAATATGCTGATACATCATTCTTGTTAGGGTGTCCAATTTTTGGAATCGGGGTCCCGTTTTGAAATCCCGGGATTAAACCCAATAATCCCAGGGTCCCGGGATTGACCTAACCTAACCTAACTTAATAAAAATTCAGATACATAGTATCAAAAAGAAAATGAGAAAAGAGCTTTATTAAAATAGACAAAACAAAGTAACATTCATATTTAGTGATTAAAAAAATCAGTTCTTGTTGAAAAAATAAAATAAAATATAGCAAACACGAGAATATAACTCTTAGATATTGACGTTCTGCTTAGTATAAATAAAATATGATTTTTTAAAGACTAAACTGTATAAAGTAAAATCGTATTAGATTGGACATTTAAATTTTTCGTTATATTTAGGATCCCGGGATTTAATATCGGGATTTCGGGATCCCGGTTTGGAAACCCATCAAGTATTTCCTCTAGAATTACTGGACATCTCTGTTAAACAAGATGATATTTAAGTATGTAGCCTAAATAGAAACCTAGAAATGCTTCCATTTTAATATACAGGGTCTTAAACTTTTAATCAACTAATGTTTTTTTTGTAAATATCTTAATCTTTTAGTCGATTTAGGACTAAAAGATTAAGTTAATAAGTATTACTTAGGTTAATAAGGACTAATTCAGTCATAACTAGATAAAAAAATAGTCCAGTGGCGTCTCGAAAATATTGTTTTATTTAATTTTTTCAGAATAATAATATAATAAATTTTAAAATAATTTGTTAAGCAAAATTACAATGATTTAGCTTAGCTTTGCACCGCTGCGCGCTAATAGTCGTTTACAGCGGAGTGGGTGATTGCTACGGATTAATCCGTAGATGATTTGAGTACAGTACGTTCTTAATACGACTTTTCTATCATTGAACAATTTAATATAATATTATATGATTAAAACAAAGAAAGGCCTCAGAGTTGGCTTGGAAATGAAGATCGCTGTTATTTCATATGTAAAATTCACTTTTTTCGATCATACGAAATATTCAGTACCTATAAAAGAATTTTTATTTTTATTATTTAACAAAAAAAAATTAACAAAATGTTTAACGCGAATAAATTTTCAATACATAAACGCGAATTTTTCATCCAAAGATATTTTCGTCAAACGTATTACAGATATTACATTTTTTAATATGTCGCTTTTAGTTTTACGCCGTCTTCAATAAGCCTTTGCTAGTCGAATTAGAGAGAACGAGTGTTTGATGCCTTAGCCGCAGAACGAGTGGTGGCTCTGCCGTACAGCACTTGAGACGTAGGGGGAAATCAAATCAGCCTTATCACGAATTCGCCCATTAGGCTACGTATCTTCACAATTATTTTTTTAATCAACGCTAAGAGGTTGTTAGGATATTTATGAATAGATTTATTTTTTACAGTGCCACACCTTGTCTATAAAAAGGAAGCATTTCTGTACCTATGTTTATACAAACTTTTCGTTTAAAAATCTCTCAAAGAATCACCTATTATTTGGTTACATACTTAAAACATCCTGTATAGTTGTTAAAATTGTTGCATTATCACGCTCACCACTTAAATAACATTTTTAAGACAGTAATTTTAATCTCATTGAAGGTATTCCTTTGTTTGTAATGCTATGATCCGAGTATGCTGTAAGGATCCAGACAACGATCGTCTCAACGACAATGAGAGACTCAACGATCTGGCTATTCTCTGTGCCGAAATGACAGCCTGTTGTAATTCCCTCGCATCTGAATGGCTAGGAGTCCTGTTAGGTTTGTGTAGCCCAAAATCCCCACCAGAGTATTACACAGACGTTTTAAACGAGGTTAAAATTGAGGTAAATTATTTCTTTGCAAATTCTTAAGGCTTATTCACGCTCTTACTTTTTTAGGACGTTACTATTCATAATTCTTTAGCTGTTTTTATTTGTATATTAATTGCCAGACATTGCTTCTCTCTGGAAGATTTTGTTCGAACGGTTGCGTTACCTAGTCTGTTAAAAGTAAGTGATTTAACCAAAGTAACTGTTTAATTATTTAGACGTTTTTTAGGTTAAATCTTTGGAGTCTTCAAGCGGTTTGACAGAGGCGGGCATGCGTTTGACTTGTCATTTGCTCCTGAGGCTGTTTCGAACGGCCGAAGGTCCCCAGCCGGGGTTATATTCCGTAGGGTCTCCGCCCTTAACACCACCAAGGCTACCTCTTGGTGTGCGGTTAAGTTGTGATCGACATTTATTGGCAGCTGCCCATAGAAATATAGATGTTGGTGAGTTAATACTTTTTAAGAAATATGCGGTTTTCCTAATATATCCTTTTTCAATTTAATCGACTACTTTACAAGAAAATGTCTTTTGGGTTTGAACTTAACTACTACAATTATTTTATTAACTTAGTTTGAAGAATCTATTAATGTTATTTTCAATCTTCTAGATGATGTATTTGTCTATAAGCGAAATAATAGATATCGACGCTAGATAAGATAGATGATATAAAAAATTAGTCAGTTTACTGTAACAAATATTTTTAACAAAAAAAATTGTATGTCAAAAAAGTCTAAAAAGTTTTTAGTAAAAAGATTTGAGTGCGAATAACATGTCTGGAAACTTTTTTCATTTAAATACTGTATGATCGATAAAAGGGCGTCCAGTTGGCTTAGAAATGACGATCGTTTACTTCCCCGTATAATTTTGCATACAAAATGACAGTGGTCTTCATTTCTTTACGTATTATCATCGATTGTCATTTCAATGGCCACTTTGACGCCGTTTTTTTAGTTCTCTTTCTGTTTACTTATAAAATACTTCAACTTGTGAACTTTATGATATTAAATATACTTTCAGGGTAACACTTACATTTTTTTCTCTTCTTTTTGTATAGGACCAGTCTTAGCAGTATTAAAAGCTGTGTTAATAGTGGGTGATGCAACGGCTAAAGAAGCCGAAATAAGTCTGTCAAATATTTTGGGCACAAGCGACAGCGGTGTCGATGGACCAAATTTGGATTTGCCGTAAGTATAATCCGGACTTCTAACTTTTGAATAGGCATATTTACTTCAAATTGGAAAAGCTTAGTTTTGCTCTCTTTTAACATATTATTACAACTTTTTTTGTTTATTATATTATTTTTGATTAGAATTAATCTCTCTAGGGTAAACCTGGACGTATGCAGCGCACGGACAGCACATAGGTTTGTCAACAAAATTCGATTTTACCCCATAAAGTTATATTGTACATTTATATCACGAGCTTCTTTGCTTTAAGTGTTTTTGTTTTCATTCATTTCACTCGATTGGATTATTTCTTTTCCCTCTGCGACTGCACAAATATACTAATTTTTAATCTCTCCAAAAAATCCTATATGGGTATTTCGCCACTGCAAGAAAATCTACAAAATAAATAGTTATTTTTTGTAAACACTGCTGCGTTAATCCAAACGGAAACTACTTGTCAGCACTTAGGTTTACAGATATACAAATTTGCCTAACGAACAAAAAAATGCTTAAATCTTTCCGTCGTCGGAAGCAAAAAAAAATACAAAGAATAAAGAAAAAAAACTATTTAAAATATTTAAATTCAACTATTCGAGAACAATTTAGTTTTTTAAAACAGATAAGTCTACAAAAACCGTTGACACAATAATATAATGTTCATAGACACATCTTTCAAAACAAAATACAGGGTGGCGCACCTTATTCGCCTCGGTTGATTATACGAAAACGGAAAGATGTAGAAACAAAATAATTTATGGGTATATGTGGGGAGTCATTGTGCACAATTTAATAATTTTTACCAAATACCATGTGAATGCGATAAATGTTACATTGGTAAAACATCTAGACCCTTAAATGTTAGAATTAAAGAACATAAAGATTATTTAAGAAAGGGAGATTTTCACAAATCTAAGATTTGTCAGCATTCATGGGACACAGGGCACAGAATAAATTTTAATAACGCCAAAATTATAATGAAAGAAGCGGTAGCCTCTAAAATAAAAATAAAAGAGGCTTTTTTAATACAATCTAATAAAAATAAATGTATTGCTCATGCATCTGTAGATGTTAGTGATGTATGGCAAACGCTTCTTTGATTCTAAAGAACATAACATACGTAAAAATTAAAAATAATTATACAGAAAGTTGGGGGCTTTTTGGTTTTATCTTATTAAGTAATTGTAATCAGGTAGTAATTGTTAATTTTGAAGTTTAACTTGATATAATGTCATTTTAACAGAACGTCAACGGTTTTTGTAGACGTATCTGTTTTAAAAAAACTAAAAAGTGTTCTGGAATAGCTGAATTTAAAAATTTTAAATAATTTTTTTCTTTATTCTTTGTATTTTTTTGCTTCCGACGACGGAAAGAGATAAACTTGCCGAAATGTTAAGCTTTTTTTTATTCGTTAAGCAAATTTGTATACATATCTGTAAACCTAACTGCTGATAAGTAGTTTCCGTTTGGATTAACGCAATAGTGTTTACAAAAAATAACTATTTTATTTTGTAGATTTTCTTGCAGTGGCGAAATACCCATAGAGGATTTTTTGGAGAGACATTTTTTACTAATTTTTAAGATAACTAAAAGTTTTTGTTTTTGAAATTAAAAATTGGTATATTGTATTTATTTCCTTGACCTTAATGATTTGCTTGTTTTTTTTTTGTTGGATGATTTTTTTTTCTTCTTAAAGTTATGTCTCTAATACACCAACCTTGTGTATATTATTTCTACATTATAGTGGAGTGCCCAGAGACTTTTACCTCGGAATTCGATTACTGTGGATTTATTAATGTGAAACCGTCTCTATTGTGTTTTATAGATAAAATACTAAAATGTTTACCAATTTTTTTTCGTTGCTTTTATTTTTTTATTTAAATAATTTTAGTAAATTCTTAGTTATTTCCTTCTGAATTTTTTTTCTAAGTAAATTTTTCGAAATAAATGAATCTAATGCATAAGCTATACCTATTCTGGTTATATTCTAATCATTGAAATTTTGTTTGAAATCGAATTATACAGGGTGGCGCGTCATATAATACGCTGTTTTTGCAAGGGGAACAAAAGTTTATATTGAAGTGAAATTTTGTGACCTTATGTAAGTCAATTCAAAGCATTTTCTAAAATTATATATAGTTCTACAGGGTGTCCCCAAAAAAAGTTACACATCAAACTGGTGTTTTTTGTAATGGAACACCCTATATATTAATTGATTTAAGAATTCTAGTAAAAAAATAAAGGCGAGTTTCATTAGAAAAGTATATGACGATAAATGGGCACCTTGAAACTTTGATGTATCTTAAAGTTTAATATATTTTGTTCTAGTGGGCCGATTTTGATGATTGTTTAAGCAATATGTAGCCAAATTATTTGACTTTTTAGTATCTCTTTCTAAATTAAAAATGAAACTGCCCATTTGTTAATTATACGAGGGAAAACGAAGTGTTGATATTTTGGTGAAAGTGTGAAACACCCTGTGTTTATATGTTAAAACACCAAGAAATTTAAAAGTTATTTTATCATCTAGATACATCCATTCTCGATAGTTTGTTTTTTGGTTCACCTCATTAGCTTTATTTTTGTTGGAGATATTCGCTTTTGAAGAAGACACTAACATGTTTTCCTAATTTGTACATTAAAGTCATGCCTTTGCTTTTGGTCCTAATCAACAGATCTAGTAAGTTCTGGTCCCGAAGTAGGCCTTCTTGACATAAGATTTGCTTCATTTATTCTTCTTCTTATAGTCCGTTAATTAATATGTACGTTCCTTAGGTGCAATTCATTATAAATTTGCTATAAAAAGCTGGCAAACGGCGGTTTCTTAGCGATAAACTTACAATAAGTCGATCCTCTCAATTAGAAGTTTTGATATGAAGGTTCCTAGACGTCCCTGGACGTCCTGAACTAAAACTTAAGCGATATTTGACTCATCCTGTATATCTATAAAGATATTTTGGAAATGCGAACTACCATTAAATGCATATTTTGTAAAAGGTTTGGAGTGAAAATCTTAAATAGGAATTCTGATACAGAGGTTTTTCGGAACAGGAGCCATCTTGTATGGATGCATTTGTATACCGGGTGCGTCTCAAAAGTGGCTCACCCCTCTAACTTTTTTATTTTTTCAGATAAAAAAACGAGATTTGGTACGTTAGTGTATGACATAAATTAGGATTGATTGACATATTCATTTGTTTTCTGTCACTTCCTGTTTCGCCGGAAATGACTACAACTTTTGATTTTTAAATGGTATTTTTTTTCTTCACTCGGTATTTTTTTACTTCACTCGATAGAAAATGACATTCTGAATAGAATGACATATCATATGTCAACTTTTGACATTTTTGTTTAAAACAAAATTGAATTTTAAATTTCAATCTAGAGTGCCATGGCTATGTTAAAAACACTAATAATTAAAATTAAACACTAGTAATTCTTAGTCAAGGAGCCCTGGATAATCAAGGATCCTTGGAAAAATAGATTTGATCGTCTATAATTATTCATGTCTTGTCCTGGCTGGTTAAAAGATGCCCAAATCGTATTTTTAATCACATCTCAATTTTTTCAACTGGAACAAGGGTGGCTCATTATCATATTTGGAAAAAGCATTTTTTTACGAATAATTTGATACCACACACTTGGCATTTCGAGTCAAATTATCGTTATGAACCGCATGCTATAATTTCCAATAAACCATATGCTAAAATGTCAAAGTTGTATGGTATGTCATTCTATTCAGAGTATCATTTTCTATCGAATAAAGCAACAAAAAACCGAGAATACCATTTAAAAATCAAAAGTTGTAGTCATTTCCGGCGAAACAGGAAGTGACAGAAAACAATTGAATACGTCAATCAATCCTAATTTATGTCATATAATAACATACCAAATCTCAATTTTTTATCTGAAAAAATAGAAAAGTTATAGGGGTGAGCCACTTTCCAGACGCACCCGGTATATGTGTTTATTTAAATACTAAAGTGAAAGCAACGAATTTAAATGGGTAAACTTTGCAACATATCTTATTAACAATACAAAGTAAAAAGTTTTATAAAAATTCGTTCACAGTAAATGAATTCCGAGGTTTGTATCCCATAAGGACTTAAAGCACTCCACTATTAATAAAAAACAATGTGATTAACAAAACTTAGTATTAACATTCTCCAGTTTTTTTCAAAATTTATTATTCTAACATCTCCCTCTGAACGGGACTTCCTCTGTACATAATTTCTTAAAACTTAGTCATTGCACCGCACTACACAAGTACATTTCATACAATTTGTTGCCAACTGACAGATCGTATTACATGTATCACAGTACATACATAATGTGGGCTATTACAGTTTATAGGTACTCTCTGAACGTGATAAAAAATTAATATTTTTGTTTTTTAGACAAATCAGTACCGGTAATCCCGAAGCTACAGCTTCTCTTTCGGCGTTTGCCAATCACGTATTAAGAGAAATTTGTTCGCAACAGTGGGTGCTTGACAGGTGTTTATGTCATCCGGAAAAATTATGCGACAGCGATAATCTATTAGACGACCTTTTGACGCACTCGCAGGCTCAAAGACTTTTGCACATGATTTGTTATCCAGAAGTCGCGGCAACTATTGACTCACTGGATCAGAAAAGCATGATTAGCAGAATACTAGAGGTAAGTTGTTTTATTATTGTGGGTGTATTTGTTGGGTAAGTTTCTAGGTAACTACAATATCTAGATCGGAGATATTTTGTACATAATTGTTTCACATCGAGATCTATCAATTAAAATATTTTCAATATGGCGACACTTCCAGAAATACCGGAAGTTGATAGCAACTTTCTTATTTTAAATGGGTACCCTTATTTTTTATTACACAGTTAAATTCACTGTAAAATTTTATGAATTTTGATGTCAAACACACTCTATACCTAACATTAATCGTTTTCGAGAAAAAACAATATTTAAAATTTTTCGATGAAAAAAACTACCTGTCAAAAAAATGTGTATATCCTAAACGTCAAATTTACTAATTAGCACAGCCACTGTGACATAAAGAGAAAGCATGTGGCTATCTGTTTCAAAAATTAAACTGTTTGAATGTCATATAGTATTGGCCGCAACTGTCATGGAATTAAGAGATTAAAAAATTATCATAAATCAGGTTTTTTCAAATGGAGATCCACTTTTTTTTATTTTACTAGTGAAAAGCCTTTTCAATTCGTTACTTTTCCATTATACATGTTCCTATGCCTAAAATAAATCGTTTTTAAGTTATTTAATGTTTAGTTTTAAAGCGTATATTTTTCTTGATTTTATATCTAGCTTTCTTTGACATTAAATGTCAAACAATCAGACAATTTATTTTTTTCTGTCAAAAAACTAATTATTTGAATATCGTATATTATAAATACTGGGGCCTTAAAACTTTATAAAGTGTATTTATAAAAATATATTTCGTATTTTCGCTCTTTAGTGATATCTAATAGTTGATATTATTAATACTGTACTGTATGATCGAAAAACGGCGCATTGTTGGCTTGGAAATGACGATCTACGGCATACTGATTTTTTAACGTGTTAAAGTGTCATATGACGAAATATATTGTTTTACGTCGCTTAACATTTAAAGTCATAGACTACTTGTTAAAATCAAAAAAAATATAAGCTTTAAAACTAAATCTTGAATAACTTAAAAATCATTTATTTTAGGTATAGGAACATGTATAATCAAAAAGTAACTAATTGGAAAATCTTATCACCACCACACCAAAAAAATGTACATTTCAACCTGGAAAAAAATGATTTATGATAATTCTTAATCGCTCAATTCCATGATGACAACTACGGTCAATATTAAATGACATTAGACCAATTGAATTTTTGAAATAGATAGCCACAATACATGTCTTCTCTTTATGTCACAATGGCTGTGGTAGTCGCTAAATTTGACGTTTATAGAATCGTTGAGAAAATAATGATGTCAAAAATTCCCCGATCTAGATATTGTAGTTCTCTAAAAACTTCTAAGGCACGCTTACCCTGGGACACCCTGTATAATTGTGTTGGTTAATAGGTTAAGTATGAGTGGCTTATAGAGCCAGACTTCGCCTTTTCATAAAGGGATATGTATTTATTTCTCTTTTTAATAAATTTTATTATTATTTATAATCTTGACAATATAATTTTTTGTTAGAATCTTGAACTTTGGACATTGCGTATGTCATGGCTGGACCTGCAACTTATGTTCAAGCAATACAGTGCAAACACTCCCGAACTTTCACAATGGCTGGATATTGTGGCAAAGGCTGCTATCGATGTTTTCCAGTTGAACGCTCCATTAGTTACCAGCCCTAGGGGTGAGGACTCTAAGAAATCCGAAGCTAGGAATAAAAACAGCTCTATATGGCTTGTCGCGCCTCTAGTGTCAAAACTTCCAAGTGCGATACAAGGACGAGTTTTAAAAGTATGTTTTGTTTGGTTTTGTAAATATTACGTTATTCTGAACTTGGAATATTGGCGATATTTTTAAAGGTGGCTGGGCAGGTTCTCGAAAGCGGTGGGTGGCATTGTAAAGAACAAAAACCAGTATTAAAATCGCGGAGCACCGGCGACCCGCAAAGTTTGTTAACGCATCAGCCCTTTTTGAGTCTAGTTTTGACGTGTCTTAAAGGACAAGAAGAAGGCCAGAAAGAAGGGTTATTATCGTCATTGCACCAACAGTTAACACAAGTAAGGAATGGGTCACATATTTAAATAATTTACATTAAAAATTATATTGTTTGAATCGATTACTTCATTTATAATAAATATTCTAGTTGGTTCAGCAAGCCAAGGAGGGAAGTTTACAAGACACATGTCATAGTGACAGGACACTGGATGGATTACAGTTAAGATTTGCTTTAGTCGGCGGTGTATTTGAGGTAATTTTATAGGTTCGTTCCAGCACAGCAGAGAACAGTTCTAACTTTTAAGCGCCGTGGAAAAAATGCGTTCCAACCACGTATTGACGTTTACAATCTATTTCACCCAGTTTTTAACATATACATATAACTAAATATACTCAGCCTAATCTCTAAAAAGTGAAGCCCAAACAGTGAAAGAGAAATATGGAATTCAGCATAAGTCTATTTCACCCGGATATTTATTTAACTGCGCATGCCTTACCTGAAGAAGTTTTCATTGGTCGGTGTTTTTAAAGAGAAGTGGTTGACTGACATTTCACCTAACCTTCAATTTTCTTTAAATATATTTTTATTATTTATAACACATTATCATGGAGTTGGAAAAATTTCAAAAAATAGTTAGAAACAATAAACTAAAGAAAATCACTCTTTTACGCGCACAAATAAAAAGTAATCCAAGCAGAACTAAAACAACAATCAATCGGAGTTTGGCGCATCGCAGTTCAATCGATATCCGGGTGAAATAGACTTATGCAGCATTAATATGGGGCTGAGTTATGTTGTCTTTTTCTTACGGCACGGAAACAGCACACGGGGTTAAATAGGTAACACTGAGTATATTTAGTTATACATATTTATATGGTTTTTAAGTAAAAGAATGAATATGACGTAACGTTGAATGATGGTTGTACAGACCATACAGTCTCTGTAATAGGGTTCTAATGTATAACTTATACTAGGGTATTTCATTAATAAGTGCAAGTATTTTAATTGGTAGTATAGTTCGACCCCAGAAACACGCCTATGAGTTTTTTTGTAAAAAAAATGTTTTGAAAATTTAATATTTTTCATTACATTTCCGGAAAATGTTGAAGAATTTTTTGTGTGCCACTGTTCTTTCTCCGGAAGTTCGTCATAGAGAGAATGCAATGTTGCCACCTCCTACATTACCCACATTCTGCATGTTTATAAGTTCACAGTAATTTTAAGTTTCTGCATACAAAAATACGAAAATTAATTTTATTGTTATTAAGCGTAGATTACTAATCTAATTCTAGAGAAACGCGGAATGTTTTAAATACTTCTTACAGTTGAGTAAACCGAAAAAATAAATCTTAACAATAATTATTACAGCTTCTTTTTTTGCCATATTAGATCTACCACCCCTTAAAATACTGACACTTATTTCTGAGACACCCTGTATAATGGAAAATATTTCAGGCATTTCAGAGAAATAGCTCTGCAACTACAGATTGGGCTTTACTATTGGTTCAATTAGTTACTCATGGCATTATAGATCTACACACAAACAGTAAACTATTTACAACAATTGTAGATATGTTAGCTACTTTGATACATTCTGCTTTGGCCACAGATACACAGGTAATTTAGCTATTAATACATATCAGCTATACATTAAGTTCACCTAATCATTTTTATAGGACGATGGCAAGAAAATGCACCAAAATCTTATGAAAAAGATTAAAAAAGAAATAGGGGAGAGACAAAACGCGTCCATCCAACATATTAAACAGCTTTTACCGTTGCCCAGAATAACTACAGAAATTATAGCTGTTGAACCAGCCGGATTGACTGATAGCAAAGGAAATAAAATAAGCTTTGACAACCTCGATCGAAAGCACGATTTAAAGGTAAAAACAGTTTTTATCGTAGTGTCATGGATTCCCTGGGCTCTTATATTAAAATATACTAATCTAACACAAAAATCTAATTTATTAAACAACTAAAACCACACTACAGTAATTAATTGATTTATTTATTTTAATTTCCCGATTTATCGCTTCTTTGCTGTCTTATACAGGGTGTCCCAGAAATGAGTGCAGATATTTTAAGAGGTGGTAGATCTGGTCAAAATAAACATATTTTCTCTTTACCATTTTTAAAATAAATTGAAAATAACTGAGTTATTTAACTTTGAAAATTTAAAAAAATAATCGCAACATTTTGAGAACCGCCGGCAGATATTGCCAACTACATCCAATTACTCGGATCAAGCCCGGATTTCAGTTAATTCGACGCACTGTGTTGCCATATGGACAAGAAAGTCTATGTTTACAAGTAAGTCATAAAATCACAACACCTGAGGAGTTTGCAGAGATGCATTACATTTTAAGATTGTGATATTATTACATAAAATAAATTAAAAGTTAAATGTTTAAAAGTTAAATTAAAAAAACTTACCCAACATTAAAAAAGATACTTATGACAGATCGATGTATTAACTGAGACAGTTCTCTTTTTCGATACACACTTAACTAAATACACTTCATTGTGCTGCTTTACTTGTACGTGCTATTATAAAAACTGCTAAAATAACAGTCCCCATTTTTAACTTAACACATTATTTTCGTATAGGCTTCATCACAATTTGAACCACTGATTTACAAAACACCTTGAAAAGCACACATTACACATTACTTTGAATATCTTTCTGAATGAATAAATGTTGAGAATTATTGTCTTTTACCGCCACTTTACGAACTACTTTCAATCTAAGAAAATACATGTTTCACTCAACAATTTTAAATACGTATTTTGCTTTTTCGCTATTTTTTCGATGTATTTCGACAATTCCGTCAACAGCTCAACCATCCGTCGGCCAAGACAGCCACGCATCACTGGTTGGTAACTGCTCACTGCTTCTTTGTCGCGCCGGCGTGTCGAGCTTGCGTCATGCGAGGTTGCCGTAGTTTCAACAATTTCAAATTCAAGACACTCGAAGCAATCAAATTCTTATTAAATTTTAAAAATAAAACAGAAAAACATGAAAGGAAACAAACAAAACACAAATGAATTGATAAGGTCACAAAAAAGAAATTTCTAAAATGTTTATCGTAATTCAGAATTCAATATATCGAAAACAGCCCGACGAATAATCAATTCATTTTTGTTTTGTTTGTTTCCTTTCATGTTTCTCTGTTTTATTTTTAAAATTTAATACAAATTTGATTGCTTCGAATGTCTGGAATTTGAAATTGTTGTAACTACGGCAACGTTGCTTAACATCATCGTCTGACGCAAGCCCGCCACGACGGCGCGGCTCAAAGGACCAGTTCACACGTGGCACTCTTGGCCAACGCGCGACGGTCGGGCTGTCAAAATACATCGAAAAAATAGCGAAAAAACAAAATACGTATTTAAAATTGTTGAGTGAAACATGTCTTAAATTGAAAGTAGTTCGTAAAGTAGCGATAAGAGAGGTATTCAAAGTAATGTGCGCTTTTCAAGGTGTTTTGTAAATCAGTGGTTCAAATAAAACAGAGAAACATGAAAGAAAACAAATATTGAATTCTAAATTACGATAAACATTTTAGGAATTTCTTTTTTGTGACCTGGTTGTGAATAATATAATGAATCATTTTCGTAAACGTCATAAACGTAATGTTTTAGTTAATTTTCGGTGGTTTTTGTTAAGTTTTCATTGAAAGGGTAAGTACTAAAAATAATTAATGTGTTTTTTTTCTATATAATTATTAATAATGAGCACTGATGAAAATTTAACATTCTTAATTTTTGAGTAGAAATTTTTCTATGAATTTATAAATGTAGAACTATGTAGAATGTGGATAACATAGGAGGTTACAACACTGCATGGTTTAGATACACCGTAGAGAAATCTCAGGTGAATAAACAAGTGGCACTAAAAAGTTTTTTCAAATTTCCCGGAAAATGTCAAGAAAAATTTTAAATTTTCAACATTTTTTTTTCGCAAAAAAAACCTCATAGGCGTGTTTCTGGGGTTGAACTATACTACCAGTTAAAATATCTGCACTTATTTCTGGGACACCCTGTATAATCCACAGATATCACCTTCTGGTAATTTTTTTTCTTTTTCACTCCAGTTATTTAAATTTGAGAATTATCTACGTCAGAGCACCATCTCTCACTCCTCTTCATAATCTACCACACACAGTGTGTTTCAAAAAACATGTACCCTCTCTTGGGGAGATAGATTCCTCACGTAAAAATAAGATTTATTTTTCATATCAACATAGGTCCGATTCTTAATGTGTAGTCTTAATTATAATTTTCTTCCAAGTACTTTTAGCGTTTCGAATGAAATTTTGAGGGTAAAAGTTACTACAAATGCGACATATTTTAAGGCTAAAAAAGTGTCGCCATATTCACCAGGGACGTGCATATGGGTTATCACTGGAATTTTTTTTTAAAAAAAGCATGTACGCCACTGACTTTTTTTTCTCTTGTTAACGAAATAGTGTAAGCAGTTTAATGCCGATTAAAAGATGTCTCTTAATATTTTGTCGATTTCGGCCTCCTTGATGAGATAAACACAATTTCATTCATTTGCTTTGATCCAAGTCTTAGCAACCTTTAAAAAAAATTAAAAAACAGTAAACATAAGTACTCATTGATTCCTAAACAAAAAAATATGAAAAAAGTTCCTATAAACATGGAATATGCACCAAAATGACACAACATAGAATTACAGGATGTTAAAACTTTTTAAAATTGTTTTTTTTCTAATTTTCTTAAATTCCATTATTTTTTTATTTGAAATTGCTGTACGTCGGACTAACAGTATACATAACTAATAGTAATAATATTTAATAATAAATTAGGTAAAATATACAATTTATTAGTTTCATTTTTATTTTAATTTTATTAATTATAACTAATAAAATTGTTTATCTCATCAAGGAGGCCGAATTCGACAAAATTATCAAGAGATAACTTTTAACTGGCATTAAACGGCCTACACAATTTTGATATCAAAAGAAAAAGGTCAGTGGCGCACATGTTTTTTTTTTGAAAAATATTTCAGTGATAACCCATATGCACGTCCCTGATAAATTTAAATATGTAGCACTTATAGTAACTGTTACCCTCAAAATTTCATTCGAATCGCTAAAAGTAATTGGAAGAAAATTATAATAAATCGAAAAATTATTAAGTCTTTAACACCCTGTAGCTAAGTAATAGAGCAGAATCGGGCCTATATTGATATGAAAAATAAATCTTATTTTTACGTGAGGAAATTCCCCACGAGAGATGGCACATGTTTTTTGAAACACCCTGTAGAAACCCTCCGTTAGAAAATGGTCTCTGTTCACTCTACACCAATCATAGCACAATAACCACTGGTACCGACCATTCAGACGTATTATGAAGGTTGTGATAGACAGATATATTATACAGATACCTTCGGATATTGCGTTATGATTCGTTTAAAAAGAAGAAAGGTGAAAGCTATCTGCCTTCTCCCTTGCATGTTTATTACACTTCTATCTTTTCTCTTCTGTAATACTGTATGATTAATTCACTCACCCCAGATCGTTGACAAACAGAGAGTAGGTAGCTGGGACATTTTGGAGGGAATGAAGAACCCTCCGCCCCTTTCGTGGGCCTGGTTTGGCGCGGTCAGAATCGAAAGGAAACCGCTGACAGGCGAAGATACGCACCGAATCCTAAAATTCCACACGCACAACCTACAGAAACCGGCCAGTCACTACTTGGACGCTCCTCCTCTACCGCCCGAAGATCTGGAACCTATTCCCGACAAACCGGTACGAATTGCGCCGTTGCAACGCGGTATTCGCATGCATTTATTAGTGCTCTACGTTTCAGGCCGACACGCCCACATCGGTGGACCAGAGTCCTGCTGCTCTAGGCAAAGGCAGGGGGAAGGGACAGAGGAAAAGAAAGCAGAAACCGGGACCGATGCACGTCAACCCGATGACGATGGGTCAGAATCCTTTGGCTCAAACCACCCCCGGTATGGGCATGGGAATGACGGGAAACAATCCCCAGATGACGCACGCTATGAGCGGATATGGTCAGAATACAGGTATAGGAAAATCAATGAAAGTTGGCGTGCACGCCGTCAAAATATTTGACGAATAAACGTCGCAATCTTGCCACCGCTATTTTTTTACTGTTTATTATAATATATTATCGTTGATTGAAAGAATTGGAAAGATACGCAACCTAAAGGGCGAATTTGTGACAAGGCTGATTTGATTTCCCCTTACGTCTCAAATGCTGTAAGGTGGAGTCTTTACTCGTTCTGCGGCCAACGCATAAAACACTCATTTTCTCTAATTCAGTTCTAATTCTAATTACTACTAATTTGACAAAAATATCTTTGGATGAAAAATCTGCGTTGGGTGCGTCTCAAAAGTGGGTCACCCCTATAACTTTTTTTGGAATATTAAGTAACCCCTATAACGTTTTAAACTATACTTGGTATGTTAGTATATGACATAAATTAGGATTGATTGACGTATTCAATTGTTTTTGGTCACTTCCTGTTTCACCAGAAATAACTATAACTTTTGATTTTTAAATGGCACCCTCAGTATTTTTTTTACTTTATTCTATAGAAAATGACATTCCGAATAGAATGACATATCATATGTCAACTTTTAAGATTCTCGCTTAATAAAAAATCGTATTTTAAATTTCAATCTAGAGTGTCATATGGCTATGTTAAAAACACTAATTTTTAATCGAGGAACCTTGGAAAAATAGGTTTGTTCAAGTAATGTTTTTAGTGTGTCCTGGCCGGTTAAAAGATGTCCAAATCATATTTTTAATCATATCTCAATTTTTCCAAATGGAATGAGGGTGGCTCATTAGCATAATTTGAAGAAGCATTTTTTTATGAAAAATTTGATCCCACACACTTGGTATATTTTGAGTAAAATTTTCGTTATGAACCGCATGTTATAATTTCAAATAAACAATATGCGAAAATGTCAAGAATTGACATTTGACATGTCATTCTATTCAGAGTGTTGTTTTCTATCGAATAAAGTAAAACAATACCGAGGATGCCATTTAAAAATCAAAAGTCGTACTTTGGTTTGGTTTGGCCGAAAACAATTGAATACGTCATTCAATCCTAATTTATGTCATATACTAACTAACATACCAAATCTCGTTTTTTTAACTAAAAAAATAAAAAAGTTATAGGGTTGAAAAAGTAATTCTGTTATAGGTATTGACTATTTTTTCATATGATTGAAAAAAGTCGTTCAGTTGGTTTGGAAATGACGACTATTGATATTTACCATAATATTTTACATATGAAATAACAACAACGATCTTCATTTCCAAGCCAACTTAAGCCGTTCTTTGTTTAATCATACAATATTATATTAAATTGTTTAATGATAGAAAATCCGTATTATTAATGTACTGTACCCAAAATCTGCAAATCTACGGATTGATCCGTAGTTCTGGCAACACTGTCTCCGGCAACCATCCACTCTGTCGGCGCAGAGTTAAACTAAATCTCGGACTTGTAACGGTAACGCTAGCTATATCTCGGACATAAGTTTGCGCATCTTATTTTTTCAATCATCGATATTATTCAGTATTTTTTTAAGGTATGCAACAAAATCAACAGTATGCAGGAAATCCGGCACAACAATGGTATGGACCAAATCCCAATCCGCAACAAAATTATGGCTATCCCGGTATGGCGGGTAAGAAACTTCAGCCAGGTGAAAATCGAAGTTTGATACTGAACATATTTTTCCAGTTAATCGATTTGATCGTCCACAACTCAACAACACCTCCAAACAGGCTCTCTCCAACATGTTACGTCAAAGACATCCACCCAACAACTATATGCCTGGAATGCCTAGTAATCAAGTGGTCCAAACACCTCCAAACGCTTCTTATGGACAAATACAGAGGTTTCCTCGTCAAGGTTTGAGGCAACAACATCCTGGGGCGATGCAGCCGAATCAAGTACAGAATGAATTAATTTTTTATTTAAAACATGGTGCTAAAATGTTTTTTGCGTTGTTTCATTTATAGAGTATGTTTGCAAATCAGTATGGAAATATGCAAGGTGGAATGGGCAACCAGTATGGCAACTTCGGCGGTAACACGCAAATAATGCAAGGAAACATACAAAATAATCAAATGATACAAGGTAATTAAATTTTAAAGAGATAGTAGCGACGTGCAATTCTTAAATTCTGCTTTTATTTACACTCAGTTTATTTACCTTCCAAGTTTTGTTACTTTATAATAATTTCTATTCTTTGTCATTTTTTTAAATATTTTGATTAGTCTGTATATACCATGCAACTCTTGCTTTTGGGTCGGTAAGTCGGAGTGAGATAAATGTTGCGGCGTTGCCACATTTCCCCGGTATGCCTTTCCCTATCAAGTAAAGTAAAATCACGATCGCAAACCGCTTATTTTTAAGACTTTTTTTTTTCGAAAAGATAACTAAATAAAATCATTAGATATGTTTCTGAGGATCTGAAATAAAATTATAAGGATATCGTTAGGGTGTCCATTTTTTTATAACGAGAAAACGTCAGTAATCGTGATAATTTTTTTATTATTTTGAAGTTCGGTTCTTTTACAAGATATTTAAAAAGAAAAATTCGTTAGCTTGTTTTTTTTTCATTCAAAAATTTAAAAAAATCCATCCATTTACTTTTAGTGCGTAGCAATTTTCAACAATCGTGTAACTTTTTTATTTATAAAGATTTTGATATACTTGTCTCTTGAATAAGTTTGTATATATACGGTACAATACAGGGTATATACAGGTTGTTAATTTGTTTATTACTCGCGGCAACAGCTTTATGGTTGAAATATGGCAACCTCGGCCCGCTCGTCGAGAGACGACGCGACGAGACGAGTCGGCGGCTTAGCTTAGGCAGTGTTGCCATTCTGCTCCCCAATAAGTAATCGTGGAGTTAACAACCTGTATACCGGGTGCGTCTCAAAAGTGGCTCACCCCTATAACTTTTTTATTTTTTCAGATAAAAAAAGCGAGATTTGGTATGTTAATATATGAGATAAATTGGGATTGATTGACGTATTCAATTGTTTTTGGTCACTTCTTGTTTCACCGGAAATGACAACTTTTGACATTCTCGACATTCAGAATAGAATGACATATCATATATGTCAACTTTTGACATTCTCGCTAAATAAAAAATAATATTTTAAATTTCAATCTAGTGTGCAATAGCGAAGTTAAAAACACTAATTATTAATCAAGGAGCCTTGGAAAAATAGATTGGATCGTCTAATGTTTTTAGTGTCTTGTCCTTGCCTGTTAGAAAATGCTCAAATCATATTTTTAACAATATCTCAATTTTTTCCAATGGAACGTGGGTGACTCATTAGCATGTTTGGAAAAAGCATTTTTTTACGAATAATTTGATACCACACACTTGGTATTTTGAGTCAAATTTTCGTTACGAACCGCAAGTTATAATTTCAAATAAACCATATGAGAAAATGTCAAAACTTGACATATGATATGTCATTCTATTCAGAGTATTATTTTCTATCGAATAAAGTAAAAAAATACCGAGGGTGCCATTTAAAAATCAAAAGTTGTAGTCATTTCCGGTGAAACAGGAAGTGACCGAAAACAATTGAATACGTCAATAAATCCTAATTTATGTTATGCTAACATACAGGGGGCTCCCTTATAACATATAGGGGTGAGCCACTTTACACTTGGTATATGTATATAAACTAGTTTTTTTTCTATGAATAGGTAGTTATATTATTACAGACTTATTTTATAAATAAAAATACCATTGTTTATAAAATTATTAAAACAAGGGATTTATTATCTCTATATTAACATTATCTTATGATATTTTACAGCTCCACAAGGAAATATGTTTGCTGGTCAGCAACAAGGGTTTGGCCAGCCCAGGCCTACCCAACCTGATTTTCGACAAATGACAGCCAACCCTAGGGCCCCATATATGCAACAAGCGCCTAACGTCACTATGAACACTAACATGGGAGCAATAGGTGGCATGGGCAATCAAGGTATTATCGATATCTCCCTAATTATAATGATTTCTAATTGCACAAATTGATATCTTAGGTGGTCCCGCCCCTCCTTACTCCAGACCCGGACAAGTTATGCAACCTGGAGTACAAAATCAGCAAACTCAGTTCCAGCAACAACAGAGGATGAGAGTTAGTTATCAAATACTTTAATAAACTGCTTCTAATTCTCACTGTTTTTAGATGATAGCCCTCCAACAACAGCAACAGCAGCAGCAACAACAACAACAGGGTGGACCTGGAGGCAACCAGCCTAGCCATACTTTAGTAGCCCATTTACAGAGGCAACAAATGAACCCCAATGCTTATCATCAACCTCCCCCTTATAATATGTAATCAAAATTTGAAACAAATATTAAGTGAGATTTAGTTTATGTATTAAAAAGATCGATTAAACAAAAAAACATTTATGGTAGATTCAGAATGTTAAGGACATTATATCAAATTTTCTTCTTATCGGTTGTGTGATATTAAATTTGCATAAGTATGCAAGAAATATTTTAATCAAATTATTATTTTAAGAATAAAATGTGTGCTTCATAAATCAATTTTTTGTGATTTTCAATATTAAATTATATTTTAAATATATTAATTGCACTTTTTATAGTTGCTGAATTTTTAATTATTGTGTATATATATTTAGCAATTAAACTTTATACTACAGTACATTGCAGTTTCATTCTCTTTCTAAAAAAAAATCGTACAGTATATTGTACAGAGTCAGTCTTAAAAGTAGTATGAAGTAGTACCCTTTAGTACTTAAAAACCGTATGATCAACACCTTAGATCAACACGGTATGATTCAATCATGATTCAATACGAATCTAGCGGGTATTCATCTTCGAGAGTTGGCAACTCTGCTGTTAAGGATCGGTTGGAAATCGGTTGTCACAGTCGGTTGTCTTTGTCCTTTTCTGTGCATAACCGTAAAATTTATGCAGACGATTTGTCAAACAAAAATACCGGGGCGTTTGTTTGTGAAAAAAACGCGGGTCAGAGATGGTTCGATATTTTTAAGACACAATTTATTCTTCTGTGTACTTAATTCAGATATAATTTTATTTTGAAGCGCCAGAACATGCCTCGCGTAAAAGCATCTCCAAAGAAATGCATTAAATCAAATTTACAACAGCCCGCTAATTCTTGGGTATTTTTACTGAAGGGTATGTAAATTTCTTATAGTTTTGTTTTGTTTTTATTTTCCGAATGTTATAGTGTTTTCAGTATCTATGCAATTATTGACTAAGTTATAGAGTAATTGTTGGTAGACTATAATCAATGCACATTGTAATATGTTTTAAGGAGAGGCTTTAGAACTATCTGAGCAATATACAGGAAGTGGTACTCCAGACATTGTAACATTACGCCATCCAAATACAGGAGAATCTGCCGTTTTCCTCTTCTCTCCTGCAAATAACTCTGTTCAAGAAGTTTTAACATTTAATGATGGTAAACGATCATGGTTTATTGATGAAACTGTTAAAAGTGATGGAAAAATGAAATTATCTACTCCAATTGATCCAATATTTTTGGGTAAAAAGAGAAATTCATCGTTTTTTCATTTATCTATAGCATTTTCTTTTAGTTTTACCCTATTTAAGAAAGTATTGTATTACACATGCCGTTCCACTTGATCAACTTCTAAGAGATGAAGAATTTCCAGAAACTGAACGTTTACTTAAATCAAGTGGTCTCAACTATTTAGGATTAATTGCAGATAGGAAGGTATTATCTTAATAAACTTGTATTTTCTACATTTCTATAAGTTCTTCTGAACTAGGGGGATGAAGAACTCAATGCTTATAAATACAATGAAGAAAAAACATTAAATTGGCTGAAGAAAAAAACCGAAAGAGTCTCAGAAATTCTGAAACAGAAAAATATTCATATTAACAGTGGTGCTGCTGTGTCTGCAAATTTTGTCAAAGGTTCTAAGAATGACTCAGACAATGATTCCTATTTAAGGTATGCTCATGGAATAGTCTCAGAGTATCTAATGGACGACCTCAGTCAAAAGTTACTAAAATTTCTAAATCTACCTGAAGAAGTTTCACCACAAAATTTAAAGAGAAAAAGTTTAGCGACACCTGGACCCGAAGCAAAGAAATCGAAAATAGAGGAAGATAATAAAGGATCATCCAGTAATGTTTTAGATCTCAGTAAACCTGAAATTAAACCTAAACCATTAACATTGTCAGCTAAAGATAAAGCTCGAGTTAAAGCTGCTAGCGGAAGTAAAAGTATTAGTTCGTTTTTCAAAAAGAGTTAAAAACTCAATGATTTTGTGGTGTTTGGTAATCTAGGTCAATTTTGAAAGAATTATTCGATTCTTGGTTTCCTTCGGAAAGCCTTCACAATTTCTCATGTGAAATATTATTTTTAATTTTTTATCGAACTAGTAGCAGTTTTAGTATTAAGTAATGGTTTCATTACATTGTACTTTTTGTATTAAGAGTAAAAAACAGATTTATTTACTTAGTAAGTTATATTTTTTTAGTAAAAAATTTTATTTCATATTGAAATGAATTCTCTTTAATATTTGCTTGTCAAATTTATTGTATATTTTATAAAATTAACCGTTTAGGGTAATTGATTGTCACAATATAATTTGGTGTGAAGCTATTGTATTAACAAGCTTTATTATAGGTCTTATTGCTTTTTTTTAAATGTCAATACATGTAAAACAATGTATGTAAAAGTAAAAAAGTACCCATTTATTTTATTTGTTTAGATTTGGACATAATATGTATCAGGTTATTTAGTAAAAGTCTAGAGATATTATAAACAACATTTAATTTCCTTATAAATAAATGTGAATTTAATCGAAGTCCATTTTTGGCTCTGCATCTTCCATATCTCTACATCTAGCATTTTGAAGCTCCCTCCTTATTTCTGGTGTTATTGTCTGGTGAACTTGTTTCTTCAGTAATTCTAACAAAGCATCTCTTTGTTCAGTCGAAATATCTGCTTTATACCTCTGTACAAATGTTAAGAACGCTTGGTGCCATAGAACAGGCAATTCTCTTTGATCTCTTTGAAACCTACAAAAAAATTAATATAAACCAGAGTGTAAACTGCAATTTTTTAAAGGTGCGTTCATACCGGCTGCGCCGCGCTAAACATTTTTTTAACATGTACTTTTGAAGTGTATTTTTTTTAGCGCGCACAAAAGTATATGTTGAAAAAATGATTTGCGCGGAACGGCGCAGCCGGGTGAAAAATTAAGATTAATTCTAGCATGCATATTTGCGATAACTTTTAGTACATTCTCTCAAATGAAGAAGAAGAACGCATACCCTCAACTCTCGAATCGTTCATCGCGACGAGCGAGGATATTTTTTATTTTATACCGCGAACGAGATTAAGAAACCGCATCACCCATCAACTAAAACACATTAAAATCCAGACCACATTCAAAAATGACCAAATTGTATATTGTAATTAATGTACCTACCTCAAGAAATGAAATACTAGGGAATCTACAACCCTATATGGCAAAGCGTATTTTTTATCTAAAAATATTCTCAAGAATATAGAGTTAGCTCCTGTGTAGTCCATTTCGGCTATTTTTAATAGAGCAGCTGAAGAATGTAACATGGGAATAGAGTTTTTGGCTATAACAGATCCAACTATGATTGCTTCTCTTAATGTACAGTTTCCACTCTCTAACAATGGCAAAAGGATACCTGAAAATTTAACATTACAGATATTTTACTGTAGAAGATAGAGTGATATGTACAGGGTGACCCAAATTTCATAAAATTAAGAGACTTATAAAACACTGTTTTTTAAAAACACTGTTTTATTAAAGCCTTCTTTCAGCATAACTTTACACACCTTTCATAAAACCACCAGGCTTATAAAGTGCTTTTCTCAAAGCTTGATATAAATGAAAATTAAGCCTTTTATATTCAGATATATCATCTCGGATACGCGGTAAGAGTACCAAGTTAAAAAACCTTTGAGCCATTTTGTCTTTCAAATTTGAGGCAAAAATTCTCGTTCCTTGATACATGGCAGCTGCTGACCAACTTGGAGGATCTAAAAAATATTTCTTTGCATACAACCGTAAATCTATTAATCATTGTATTTAGGAACCTGTAATATACAAAATCTGTTCCCAGTTTCTCAAACTTGGTATAATTTTAAAGGCTTTTGGAATTTTTCCACTTCTATATTTTCTCAACACATCTCTGACACCTTCATACATAGTTTTTACGCGTGGGTCTAAATCTTGGACTTGTAATGTACCTGCATCACTAAAATGATTTATAAATAATGAATCTAATTATATTTTTAAAAGGGTTTGAAGGATATACATATATTATGTGATATGATATTTATATGAATATGATACTTTTGAACTGTTGTTTAATAAGTTATACCTAAAATGAGCATCTAACTCTGTTTGTTTTTCAGTTATTTTCTCCATAATAATATCGGCTAAAGTACGTCTTGGTAAAGGGTTTTTACTCATAAACATTTCTATAGCTTTTTCATCGTCTTCGTTTACTTCAATATCCTCATAAAAAGTGTTTGAATCTAAGTTATCCTAAAATTTTGCAATAAATATAGGTTGCTATTAATAATATAATGGTAGACTTATTACTTCACCATCTGAGTCACTTTCAGAGTCGCTTTTCGATCCGTCGTCCAATCTAAAATGTTTTGTTGATGCTTGTGAATTGGCTGGAGTTGTAACATTTTCTTCTAAGTCTCGCTGTTGTTCTCTTGCCGCTGATAAAATTTTTCTTGACAAATTGGAATCTACATACTAAAATTATATACAATAGTCTACTTTAAGTGCTAAATCGGTTAAAAAAACTAACCTCTTCATCTTCATCCTTACGTGCCCGCACTTTTATCCTACTTTTAGCTTTTGCAAATTTAGTGTCACATATATCCTGTTCTAGTGGCACTTTATTTACCATTTTTGATGGTTTAATTCTTTTAGCTTTGCCCATTTCTAGTTATAACACATCCAGTTTATTGTTATTTTATTCTCTCCTCCAGCTCCTCCACAATCCACATGGGATGGCTGAAAATTAATAATTTTATGCGTCAAACGTCAATGTCATAATTGTCAAATTCCTTAACCTGTAGTCTTCTTATGTGCAAGTGGTGTTTTAGTAGTAGCAGTTCGGTTTAATGGCCACAGTTACAAGGGTTATCTGACCAGGTGATAGGATATTTCTTCTTATTTGAATGGTGAAATGCAAACGAGGTTTGCATTAAGTCAGTCTGTAGTTTATAAGAACTGTAAGTTTATCATGTAATTTCTCCCAACCCTAGTTGGAAGAGAAGTGAGTAGAGCAGAGTTGGTAGAGACCAAGGATGTATTTCCTTGATTTTAACCGTCAGCATTAAAGCCATGTACATTATCCATCTTAAAAAACTAATCTTGAATTAAACTAGTAATTTTTCTGTCGAATAACTAGAATGCAAAATTTAAAGGCAGATTCGATAGTTTTCGACGAATGATTTCTCACTGATATTTGAATGAATCGCAACTATCGAATGTTCCGATTTCCGATAGTTCACAGTACTATTAAATTCAAAGTGAACATTTTAGCAGGGCATATAAAACAAATTGTTTTATATGCCGTTATTTTTTTCTATTGTTTAATTAAAACACAATCCCCGTTTATCAATATTTAATTTTCCTCAACAGGAGTTCTTTTAAGTTTCAGCTCTTCTAACAGTTGTTTAACCTTATTAATTTCATCATCAGATACTGTCACTTCAACTCCACAATCATTTTGCTCATTTCTTATGAACTGTAGGGTTCTAAGTTTCTCTTCTAAAAATGCTGGTTGTTCAGCTTCTAACAAATACCTAAAATCAGGATTATATATTACCAATTCATTTAGTAATTGTTTATTAATGTCTTAAAAAACTTACCTATATTTTTCAAGTTTGTCTTTTTTTATGTCAGCACAATATTTATCAGTCAATTTCACAAGTGATCCCTTCCTCGTAACCCATGTGGATTCGGTTGGTGAAGGTTTATAAATCAAATTTAGATTCTCGAGTATCCATTCGAATTTTTTATAGTCCCACCGACGCAAATATCTAAGATGTTTTTTTCGCATATCAATTACCTCTTTTAGTTTAACTTTTAATCTCTTGTTGCGGGGAAAACGTTCCATTGCTTCTTGCCAAGCTCTTATATAACCTTGAGAATTATGTAAACATGAATAATACCAAACCATATTACAAGGGGTAAATAAATACCTGTCCACCTAGCCAATTTAATTTCGATGGAACCGGTATCAAATTCGTGCCGTTTCACTTCTTCCATTGCCCTCTTGTTATAAAATTGAGTAGAATATTTTCTAGAATTAAACTCGAGCGTAAATAAACGCTTAACATTCTCGTCTGCTGTTTCTAGTTCCTTTGATTTTCTTAAAAGAAAAACTAATAATAATATAGACTTAAAAAGAATAAAAATAATTACTTACCTAAATTCATGTAAATATTCACTTTTATTAATTTTAGGAAAAGGAGACAAATCTCCGGATTTTTCGGGTTTGTAACAAGGAATTTTTTCAGGCCGTACCCACTTTATTTTCAAGTCGCTTTTAAAAGCATAATTCCTAATTGTAATTTGTATAATGTTTTTATTATGGTTTAGAATCTTATTCATTTTAAATGCTTGAAATTGTTGAAATTCAAATCATTCTCAACACTAGACACGAAAAAAAAATAACCTTTTGAGGACATAACCTACAAGAAGAAAAGCACTTTTGTTTTCCGGCCTAGGCTGCCAGAGCTAGTCGGCCAGGCTTTTTGATAACTAGTATTGGGCAATGTTTATCGATATTTTATTGATTTTTTTAATTGTTCTATCAAATCTTATTATTAATGTCCCACAATAATTCTTGCTGAATAAAGTTATGTCTCGATCTTTTTACTCTTTTTCAGTTAAATATTAAATTTAATAAGTTCATGTGAATTTCTATAAATAAATCATGGGGGTTTATAATTAAATTATAAGGGTTGGACCAAAATATCAATTATTTTTTAACGAAATTGAAATTAAGCGATAAAACAGAATTAAACAGTCAATATTTATTAAATAGAGAATAGTCACACAAGTATAACAAACTCATCACTTTTTGAAAAGGAATATAAACAATAGTACCTAAACAAGTCATTTACTACTCTATAAATCTTGATTACATCATAAAAAATAATCCTTAAATAATACTAGATATTCTTCCTTCCACAATTAGTCCTTACTCATCCATATAATAAGCTTAAGAAGGAAATAGGCTACGCCACAGCCAACAAGAACTTTTTCTTTTTGAACCCTACTAATATTTTCTAATTCTAGAGCCATTACTCTGCGGTTCAATTTTGCTAGTTGACGTCTTAAATGAATTACCTCTTCGGCAGTGGTTAAACCATCACCAGTTCCACCTGAAATAATTTTATAAATACAAATAACTATAATTGTCTTAAAAAAAATTGTAAATGTAAATGTAAATTAAATTTAAATTTGTTTTACCTAATGGTGGAGTTGATTCCCTAAAAGAGTTTGTCATTGAATAGACAGAATCATTTAAATTTAATTGGACCTTTGATTTTGGTTTAATTACTGGTAGATGATCTTCGGGCTCAAGTTCTTGCTCATAATTTTCAATACCTGCAAATAACAACAGAATTTATGTAAAACATAATACCACTTCTTAATAAATACATAAACATGTAATCTAATTACCTGGAAATGGATACTTGTCTAGAGTTAGAGTTCTGGGTGGTGTAGCTACCCTGGGCAATTCAGCTGGATAAGGGTCGGAAGAAAGAATTGAATTATCATAGGCTATTTCTCTTGGGGGTGCTCTGGTGCCTAAAATATATCAGTTAAAAAACATGATATAAATATCATACTTAAATAAATCTACAGCCTTTCATATGATGATAAAGTATAGTCTCAAAACAATTACATGACATTTTTTGACATTTCGTGTTTGCTTAATGATTATTGTTAACTTGATAAATTTTAGTGCATCTCAAAAAAAAAACTCTGTATAATATTTCATAAATTCCAATAAAACATACCAACGTGTTGATCTTGTCCAACAACTAATATTCGTTCGGGTACCTGCATATTATCAAAATTGTCTTTAATCCATGAATTTCGAACTTCTCCATTTAAGTCATTGTTAAAGCTAATTTTTTCAGGCACCTTCATCTTTTGATTTATTTCTACTTTGAAGTTGGCATCGGTTACAAAAGCGTCTTCGGTATAGTGAGAAGGACTAGTATTAGCAGACATTTATGGTGTTTTGTATTATTTCGTCAAGGGGTAGTCAAATTTTTGTCCTATTTACTTTCCTACAAGTCTAAAATAAGCACTAATAAAAATGTACTATTTTTATACCAACTGTAAAGATATTTACAAAAGAAATATTTAAAGCTTAAAATGTAAACTAAAATGTCTTAATTTAATTTTATGAATTATTCTTTAATGAAATTCGTCAGACATTTTAAATTTTTCTTAAAAAATTATAAAATTATCTCACCACAGATCAATTAATTGATTATGTTAAACGGGATGAATCTATGGATATCAAGGATGTATCATACCTCAAGGATGTATAATATATTTAAAACTGCTGTATTGTAGTAAAATTGGTAGTAAGCCATCGCTGTCGTAACATAGCGTTTACGTCATTACAAGACCTTTTTAAAAAAGGGCCTTTCACTTTATCATGATAGATCATGATACAATAATTGTATCATGTCACTTTATTAGATATTATCGGATATTATTTGCATAACTTATTTTGATAACGCTTTACGTGTTTTTGAATGTGCTTTACTTGTTTTACAACGTAACATAAATGTTAAATGTGCTTTGCGTGTTTTTGTTTGTTTATGTGTTTTACTAACAAAGAGTAGAGCAGACTTTTCGGTAGACTTTTCTTTTACCCATTTATATTACAATGATAATTGGTTTACAGAATAATTTTCTCAAATTAAAAAACATAAAACTAGTTTGTGATTTCAGTTTTGTCTATTATTTTTTTATAATTTTTTACGTTTCCTTACATTTACGAAAATGTAAAAAAGGACGACGTCTCAAAAAACTCAATCCAACCCAATCCTAATAAATTACTGTAGGAAATGTATGACGTTTAACAGATGGGAGATGGTTTGACAGATGTTTGTCAATTTCATCTATCAACAATTCCAATTTCCAATCACACGATTTTTATTCAAACGTGAACGTGGATTAATTTTAGCGGTTTTGGTTCTGAAGAGTTGATGCAGTAAAACGATGTATTAAACGATCAGTATTATCTCAGTATATATGTAAGTATTATATTTAAGGGTGCTTTTTTTGTGCCGTTTTATATGTAGGAGTGTATACTTTTTTGCGGTTTTCTGGTATATATTTAGCAAAATCTTAACCTGTCCAATTGTTCTACATTTGACCCATTAATGAATTAATCTTATTATTTCACTTGCTTGCGTCACAAGAGCTAATATAAATAAAATAGTAAAGTTCAAATACATACACATTTAAAAGTCTCTATTTAGTATAGGTAGTTATTTTTTTTATTATAGTAGGTTGCGCATCATTTAGCTTTCTTTAGCCACTTTCACAAGAATTTCGCCACCACAAAGTATTTCACTATTATCTGTTGATTTTTTTTGTTGTAGAAGTAAAAGACAAGATACGTTCAATTTAGGATTTACAAATTATCTACTGAATTACTGGAAGATATCAAATAATGTACAACTATATAGGTAGTTTATTAATAAAATTCATTGGTATCTTTCTTCAAAACATACCTACATATAAAAATGTATTTGCTTTAAACCTAAGACAATAATAATGTTTTGTGAGTGTTAAGCAGATTTTTTTAATAAAAATTGGGCTAAAGTAATGCCACAGTTACAACATTATTTCATGTTCTCTGTGATAATGATAATGCGTAATTTTTGCAAAGGAAATTTATATTTTGTAATTTCGTAATCATTGGCGAATTCGGGAGGTGGTTTAGAGGACGCTTTTTTGTTCAATATAGGAGGTTATAATTTAACCTTCCGTTAAAAGAGGGCGCTGGATGTCTTAAATCATTAAAATTATCTTTAAATTCTATATTGTCTACTTTATGTACAGAGTGACCCAATATTTCGCGACAGAACTACTACATATTTTGGAATCAAAATAAGTTCATTGGACACAATTTACCGCTATACAGAAGTGCTTTTGTACGTTAGAGGGCACCAAACTTTAAAAAAATAAACACATTTTTTAAGATATTTTATGAACCAATATTCCGAGTTTAATGAGATTTGGAGTGTATATCACAGGTGTATATGTGTACTAAGCGCTTTAATCAAGCTTTAATATTAGACTGCCACAAAAAAAAATGAAGAAGTAGGTAGCTCTGCTGTAAGAAATATCAAGTTGCTACATTTATTTATTTATTTCCTGACATTGTCATTTGTTTTGGCACTTTAGTTTTGTTTTACCAGTTTTTGGTTTAAACTGGTTTGTGAAACTGGTTTAAATGAATTGTGTTGAGATAGCTTAAGCTTAAACATTTTTGCTAGCAGATTTTGCAGTCGAACATTGCTCTTTTTAGAACCTTTTTTAGTGCGAAAGTGGAGATAGAAAGAAAATATGTAAAAGTGGGCAACGCTGTGCCGGTCAAGTTTAATCATGTGACTAAAAGTTTATTTGGTATGATCTACAGGGTCCGGCAATATACATAGTGCAATATGTACCGGGTGTTGCATCGTCGAGCGGGACATAGGAAATCCCATGTAAATTTTAATGGGGTCAAATATTGGCTTCCCTAATTATTTTAGAGAATAATTCTATTTAGGTTAATTGAAGAGCACTAAAACCCACATTCAAAAGAATAACTTTAGATATTTTTGATTAGCCCCTTTACGAGTTATCGCCGATTTCTTTTTAAATATTTCTTCTTTCTTATGGCCCTGTATTTACTTATGAGCACCAGTCAAGGTAAAAGATAACTGTCAAATGAAGTTGTCATTTCAGAAATTTATCTATTTAGTGCTTTATTATTATTATTAAAAACTCATACCTACATCGAAAATATTAGCCATGAATTACACTACCGAAGAAAAAGTATTGATGATTAAATGGTATTATCAAGGAAATAGTTATCAAAAGGTGTCGGACATGTTTGCTGCTCTGTATCCGAATAGACCGATACCTGGAAAATCTACAATCGCAGGGAATATCCAGAGATTTGAGACCAAAGGTACCCTAATAAATAACTGCAGATGTGAAGCAAGGCAGGAACAAAGAGAAGATGCAAGAAATGATACCGACTTGGAAGTTTTATTGTGCGTGGAAGAGAACGTGGAAAGATCAGCACAAGGAAACTTGAGGATGAAATAGGAATAGATCACACTACAGCGTTTCGAATTTTGAAACGACATAAATACTATTCCTTCAAATATGAAAAGCACCAAGAGCTACGAGATGTGGACGAAATACGGCGGCAGGCGTTTTGTTTTGATATGATGGAAAGAGCAAACACGGATAGGGAATTTTTAAAAAACATATGTTTCACTGAAGAATGCACGTTTACCTTAAATAATGAACCCAATGTTCAAAATTATCGATATTGGAACAAAGAAAACAAACACAGGTTTGTCGAAACAAGGACGCAATATCCACAGAAAGTAAATGTTTGGGCAGGGATATTATCGGGCCATTATTTCTTACGCGAAATTTAAATGCAGAATATTATTTGGAACTACTCGAAAATCAATTTTACCTGCTTTACATGATGCCGCTAGGGACAATCAGGAAGTCTGGTACCAAATGGATGGCCCCGGCACCTATGTAGTACCCTGGCTGTTCGGGAATATTTAGGTAATACTTTTAACGGAAACGTTATTGGCGTAAATCATACAGTAAATTGGCCAGCAGGGTCTCCTGATATTTCGCTAAATGATTTCTTTCTCTGGGGCCATTTAAAAAACAGGATATACAAGGATAAAAAATACCCAAATCTAGACGAGTTAAAAAATGCTATTTCTGCCGAATGCAATAGAATTTCAGTTTACCAACTAGCGAATATAAGAAGAGAATTTTATGATCGCCTGGGTTATTGTCTAGCAGTCGATGGAGGAATATTTGAACATCTTCTCAAATCCTAAAGTTCTAATAATTTAATAGTACCTAAATTAATAAGTTATTAAATATTGTAATAATACTATAATTAACCTTGTAATTGATTACTTTATTTTACTTTAATTCATATTAATTTGTATTTATAAATACATCTTTAAGATTTCCGATGTAGGAATGAGTTTTCAATAATAATCAATAATAATAAAGCACTAAATAGGTAAATTTCTGAAATTACAACTTCATTTGACAGTTATCTTTTACCTTGTCTGGTGCTCATAAGTAAATACAGGGCCGTAAGAAAGGAGAAATATTTAAAAAGAAATCGGCGATAACTCGTAAACGAGCTAATCAAGAATATCTAAAGTTATTCTTTTGAATGTGGGTTTTAGTGTTCTTCAATAAACCTAAATAGAATTATTCTCTAAAATAATTAGGGAAGCCAATAATTGACCCCATTAAAATTTACATGGGATTTCCTATGTCCCGTCCGACGATGCAACACCCGGTATAATGCTTCGGGCATCTGTAGCTCCTATAATAAAAAACTCTTTTTATAAATGTAGATCTAAAGTATGTGTTAGGATGTATTTCAGGAAAATATTTTAATTTCTCTTGGGTGGCTCAAAAAAGTGTGAGTGGATCGGGATTATTTTTTTAAATAGAACACCCTGTATATTATTGCATTTTTGTTTTCCTTTCAGGATCACTTTACATGATCCTAAGGTATGAGTAAACATATTTCGATAGTTTCAGAGATAATAAATAAATAAAAAATATATGTATATTTTTCAGCCTTTGTTAAAACAATAAAATTTTTAAAAATACAAGAACTGTCCTGAAATAAAAACTCTATTAATTTACTTTAGATGGTCTGTAGTTACTTTGCTGTAAATATGGTAATCGTAAATCATACAGGATGTTCAAAATTCTACGCCAAACTTTCTAAAATATAAAATAATTTTTCTCCGTTTTTTTTTAATGGAACACCTTATATAATATTTTTTCAATAGACGGATAATTAAAAAATAAACATTTGTTGTATTTAAATTATTTCAACATTTTTAACGGTTTTGCAGATATTCGGGGGTTTTATATTTCATATGGCATACCGTTGAAAAAGTCATATGAAGTAATACTGCGTGTATCTGCGACACCATTAAAAATTTTGAAATAATTTAAATACAAAAATTGTTAATTTTTTAACTCTTCATCTAATAAAAAAATAATATACAGGGTATTCCCTTTAAAAAAACAAAGAAAAATTATTTTATATTTTAGAAAGTTTGGCGTAGAATTTTGAACACCCTGTACGATTTACGATTACGATATTTATAGCACAGTTATGTACACTTATACCATCTAAAGTAAATACCTAATACAGTTTTGATTTCAGGACA